TAATACCAAGAGAGACACAGAGACGTGGAGAAACCTAGGGATGGGAACCTAAAGAGAGAGAGAGAGAGTAAAAGGACAGAGAAAGAGACTCAGAGAGAGGAGACCTGAGAGACAGAGACCCAGAGACAGGTATCAGAGCGATAATCAGAGACAGAGATGAAGAAACGGTCCAGAGAGACAGAGAGACTTGGAACACAGATAAATGAGGACGGGGATAAACTCTCAAAGACACAATCAGATAGAGATGAGACAGAGATGAGGCCTGGCTCCCTTCACCCTCTTCCAGGAGGGGGGGTGCTTCCCCTGAACCTGCCTCTCCCCCCTCACTGCCCCCCACCCTCCTGCAGCACGTCCCCAGTCTCCATAGCAACCTTCCCAGATCCTGAGGGCAAATATTGTCCCGGGCAGAAGCAGCGGGGCTGTGTTGACATAATCTCTTGCTGGTGGACTGAGGGCTCCAGGGAACCAAGAGGCCAGGATGGGAGGGCAGGAGAGCAGAGGGGCTCTCCGCTGGGGCCCCAAAGACAGCTCCCACCTGCCACCACCTCCAGATCAAGGAGCAATGCTCCCTGCCCCTGGGAGGAGCCTCTGAGACATTCAAACCTGGAGCCCTGGCTGCCCCCTGGTGGTGGTGGGCCATCCCTCAAGCCCATTTTCTAGCGTCATGGAGAGCAGGCTGGCATTTTCCTCCTGGTTTGTACTTACTTTGTTTTATATTATATTATTTAATTTTAATTTTATTTTTTGGCCACACCATGCAACTTGTGGGATCTTAGCTCTCCGACCAGGGATCGAACCCGTGCCCTCGGCAGTGAAAGCGTGGAGTCCTAACCACTGGACCGCCAGAGAAGTCCCCTTTCCTGGTTTTTAGAATCTGGCTCTTCCTCCCTCTCCTCCCAGCCCCTACTCTGATCCAGGACCCTTCTCTCCCTGTTCTGCTGCCCCAGTCGTGTCCCTCTCCTTTCCATCCATCCCCCAACCTCCCCAGAGCAGCCAGGCAGTGAGAGTGGTCCTGCTAAAGCACAAACCTGTCCCTGTCCCTCTCCTGCTCAGAACCTGCCATGGCTCCCTCAGGCTCCTCTCACAGCCTTCCAGGCCTTTGCTGAGCTCTCCAGCCTTCTCTCCATCACTTCCCGACTCTTCAAACCCTTTCCAGCACCCCAACCTCGGTTCCAGCAGTTTTTTCCGCCTCACATACTTCCACACAATTTTGGTCAAGTCTTCCAAGCCCACCTCAAAATTAGCTCAGTCACTCAACAAATAATGATTTCTTCTCCTGAACCATGAGCTCTGCGAGGGCAGGGCTGGGGCTGTCTCAGTCACTACTGGGTCCCCAGCATCACCCAACACGGGTTCGGCACAGAGCTGGATTCAATTTACTTTATTGGGTACTTGTTATATATCAGGCCCTGGGCTTGGTGATGCTGGGGGCCTGGATGGCCAAGATAGCCCTTGCCCTGCCCTCATGGAGCTCCCAGCCCAGGTATAGACTTAGGGAGACAGACTAACAGAAGGAGAGGTAGAAAGAGAAACACAAAGAAAGAAAGAGTCAGAAAGACAGAGGAAAGGACTTCCCTGGCAGTCCAGTGGTTAAGACTCCATACTTCCACTGCAGGGGCTATGGGTTCGATCCCTGTCCGGGGAACTAAGATCCTGCATGCCACGCGGCATGGTCAAAAAAAAAAAAAAAAAAGAGGCTGAGAAAAAATCAGTCCCAAATCAGGCTAATGAATAATAATGATTGTACCATATATTGGGCATTTTACATATACGTATCTCACTTGATCCTCATAACAGACCTGTAACAGAGGCATTTTCATTTCCATTTTCCAGAAGAAGAAACTGAGGCTCAGAGAGAGGCAGTAACTTGCTCAAGGTGACTTAGCTCATAAGTGATACATCAAGGACCCAATTTCCAGACGGAGACATAAAGAGAGACAGAGATGAGAGAGAAAAGCAGCTGGAAACCTAGAAGAGAGAGAAGGAAACCTAGAGGCAGAGAGAAAAGACAAAGCATGACGGTGAGCCCTGCTCCCAGCCCCCTGGCAAAGCTGCCCCCTCCCCCCTCCTGTCACCCGGGGCCTTTAACATCTATCTGAGAAAGCACTTGTAATAAAACTAGCTCTATTAGCCTTACCCAAAACCCACTGTGCCGAGCAGCACTTAACAGGCATGAGCTCACTGAACCTGCTCTTCTCCCCTGGGAAGTGGGTGGTGGGATGACTCCCATTTGGCAGAGAAGGAAAAGCCAAGCTATTGGGCCAAGGTCACTGTATGCACACAGAGCAAGGACTGACTCATCTTTGTGTGTCACCTGCCCCAACAACCCACCAGCCTAAACTCCTCCCGCTGTGGTTCCTTCATTCACAACCTGGTTGCACTTCCCACCCCCAACACACAAGAGCCTTCAGGATCTGAACTCCCTTGGGCTCCCACAGGCCTCTGGGGACGCTCCGGTAACAGCCCTTAGCACATTGCAGCCTGCTGCACACTGTTCTGTATGTAGGAGTCTGATTTCCCCTCTCCTAGAATTGGAGCTCAGGGAGGTGGAGGGTGGGAGAAATGGGTGTTTGGGAAGCAGGAAATCTGAGTTCCTGCATTGTTTCTGTCAGTGACACAGTTAGCTGTGATCGTAGAAGGATAATGGCCCATGTCTATTTTGGTCATCACTTGGAACCCGTTATTGATCTTATATAGTAGGTTTCACTGAGAAATGAATAGGGGTTGCTGTCATTTATGTGTGCCTACTGTGTGCCAGGCACTGTTCTCATGTGTGATTTACATAGGTGGCCTCACTAGGGCTTATGGAGGATACAGTGACAAACCGCCAACATCTGCCCACAATCTTCGAGGTCCTGCGAGATCTGCAGGCCCATTACCTCCCTGACCTCATCTACCTCCTGCTCTCCTCCTCCTCCACAGCTCCATCCTCACCGGTCTTCTTGTTGCCCCAGGAATATGCCAAACTCATACTTACCTCTGGACCTTTGCACTTACTCTTCCCTCTACGTGGGAAGCTACTTCCTACCCCCACCCCCACCCCACCTTGTGTGACTGCTTTCTTCTTGTCATTTACATCTCAGCTCAAATGTCACTTCCTCAGAAAGACTTTTGCTGGCCCCACTCTCTCTAAATTAGCCTCACCCTCCCATCCCTGACCATATCACTCTATCTTATCTCTGTAATGCCAGGACCTGAAATTATCTTATGAGCTCTGTGCCTGTTTCTTTATCTGTAAAATGGTGATGAAAATAACTGAGTGCTTGGCACATAGTAAGTGCTCAATAAATGTTAGCTATTACTATTTACTTGTTTTCTGTATTGTGGTTTACTTCCTCCACAAGCTGCACAGACCACGAGGGCAAACTCTGGGGCTGACTTGCTTATCACTGAAACTCCAGCACTTAGAACAGAGCTTGGCACATAATAGGCACTCAGTAAACATATTTATTTATTTATTTATTATTTATTTTTGTCTGCGTTGGGTCTTCGTTGCTGCACGCAGGCTTTCTCTAGCTGCGGAGAGCAGGGGCTACTCTTCGTTGCGGTGCGAGGGCTTCTCCTGGCAGTGGCTTCTTTTGTTGCGAGGTTGTAGGTGCGTGGACTTCAGTAGTTGTGGCATGCAGGCTCAGTAGTTGTGGCTCGCAGTCTCTAGAGCACAAGCTCAGTAGTTGTGGCACGCTGGCTTAGCTGCTCCATGGCATGTGCGATCTTCCCGGACCAGGGATCGAACACGTGACCCCTGCATTGGCAGGCGGAGTCTCAATCACTGCGCCACGAGGAAAGTCCCCAAACTTTCAAATGAATGAAAGAAGTAGGCACGATATGACCCCCCACTTTCCAGATGTGGAAACTGAGGCTCAAGGTCACAATCAGAAACTGGTGGAGTCAGGATTCAAACCCCGGCCAATTTGGTTCCAAAGCCCTGGGCTTCCAAGGCCTGCTTGTGTCCATCCAGAGGCAAATCTCTTCTGCTTTGGGCTCACTTCCCACCGCTATAAAGCATATTCTGGGTCATTTCTAGGTGCTGACCCTCAATGGAGACTTGGAGAAGGTGATCCAGTATTCTTTAAGTCCATTGTCAGCGTTTCTACCCTCCCCTCTCCCCCCAACTTCGGAGCCGCCTCCGACTGACACCGCCAGCCATCCAGGCATCACAGCTGGGCCTTTGTCAAAACCCGGACTGGATAACAAGGTTATGGGAGATGAACGCTGTAGGGGAGGAGCTAAGGGCCTGGGGCGGCCAATAGGAAAGTGGAATGAAAGGTTAGGGAGGGACTAACAGACTTGGGGGTAGGGGCATAAACTTAAGGGGCGGAGCCAATCCTATCAGGAGGCCGAGTCAAGGGCTCTGGGCCAAGCACCATCGCCCTGAGATGCTTGGGGGGGGGGGGTGCCAAAAGCTCTGGGGGCGGGAATAGAACTTTAACTCCCCCCTCAGGATTCTGGGGGTGGAGTTAAGAGCCCTGGGGGCGGGCGTAGATAGAATAAACAAGAGTTCTAAGAAATGAGCTAGAATAAGAGTTCCAGGGCGGAGCTAGTGGATATCTGGGCGGATTTGAGACTCTAGGGTCAGGCTCTAGTCTTGCAAGGTGGCTTCTCGAAAATCCAATAAAAGATTAGGGAGGTTTGCGGGGTGTGGAGTGTCTTCTTCCACCCTATCTTCCTCTAAGAGCCGGGGGCTATGCTTCGGGCTGAAAAGCAGAGAAGGCCCTGCCCCTTCCAAACCTTCTGCACCCCTATTGGCGGAGGGGGCCTGCGCGACAGGCTCTCATTGGTCCTGAACAGGCGGGGGTGTCTAAAGAGAATACGCGCCTGTTGTGGGCGGGACCAGACAGTACCGAGGGGGATCTCGGGTCAGCCAATCCCGGCCCGAAGATTGTGTTGGGGGGCCTGGCAGGGGGTGTTCCGACCCCCCCCCCCGTTCTGAGCATCCTGGGGGATGACCCCGGTGCCAGGCCCGGCGTCGGCCGCCTGATGCCGGGCAGGCCGAGCCGGGGATGCTGGAACGAAGGGCGTTGCTATGGCAACGGGAGGCAGGACCGGGGGGGGGGAGCCCAGGCCCGAGCTGGGGCCGGGGGGGCTGGCGGTGGCTGTGGCGGGGCGATGGCGGAGCGCGGCCCGGCCTTCTGCGGCCTCTACGACACATCCTCCCTGCTTCAATACTGCAACGGTGAGACCCCTCCTCAGTTCCGACCCTGGCCCCGCCCAGGGCTGGACCTATCTCCTCCTGCCCCAACCTCCTCCTTCCAAGTCCCCATCCTGGCCCCTTGCTGAAGATTCTCCTTTCTCCCCTAGCAGGACCCTGACCCTAGAGCAAGCTCCCTGATCCCCAAAGCCCTGATCCCAGTCCCCCACCCTCTTCAACCCTCCCCTTTTTCGGAGGTGTCTGAACTGAGAGAAAGGAGCAGAACCTCAGGAGCTTGGGGCAGAAGCGGGGGAGGCCTGGAGGTCTGGAACTCTGCGTTCCCTATCCCCTCTCAGTCCTCTGGGACCCTCCCCCTTCTCCCTAGCAGAGGGACAGATTAGGGGGAGAGTGGTATTTGGTGTTGGCTTGTGGGCTGGATGTGGGACTGGGTAGGATGACCAGAGGACTTTGCTTCGACTATACCCCCCCCAAATCCTCAGGCCCCGCCCCTCCCACCCATTAGGACTCATCCCTTCTCCCTAGACAAATGGGTACAATACAAGAAAGGTCACTGTGGGTGTCAGGCCCAGATGAGGGAAGCTGGAGGCAGAGGGGAGGAGGGAGGGATGGGAGAAGTGGGAAGTGGGGGCTGGTTTCCGGGCAAAAATGCCGAAGGTGGGGGAATGGTCAGGAGGGAGCGGAGGACTTGAGTCATGGTGGGTGGGGGGTGGGCAGGCCAAGGCCTCAGAATGCAGCTGGCTCTCTGGATGGGGGTTGAAGGGCCAAGGTGAATGCTCCCCCATTTCACTCAGGGGCCCTGAGAAGGAACTGTCTTCCATTTGGAGGCTCACTCCCCTGGGCACACAGCACAGTGTCAGGGACCACTGGAGTTGGCAGAGCTCCAGAATGCTTATTTTGTCTCCTTTGCCCCTCTAAGAGGCAGGCTGACAGGGTGCCTAAGCCTGGGGTCATGTACCTGTTCTGCTGCTGAAAGGCTGTGTGTCCATGCACAAGCACCTTCATCTCTCTAGGTCTCAGTCCCCTTCCACCTTCTTGCCTCCTAAAATGGGTATACTACTACAGCTGCTAGAGTTGCTGGGAGCACTGGGTACCATATAACAGTTAATTATATTCTGGATTTACTGAGCACATAACCAGAGCCAGGTGAGGTGCTAAGTGTTTTGCAAGAAGAGTGCCTGCCATGTGTAAGCTCCCTATAACAGATCTCATTTGGGGGGGTAGTATTATTAATGGTAGGTAAGAGGGGTCTTGGCACAAGGAGGTGACCAGGCCCTCCTGCACCTCACCTATTGGCTGTTTGACCTTTGGTGATCTCTGCACACTCCCCAACCTCCTTCCTTAGTTTCCTCTTTTGCAAAACGTTTTGCCAACAGGACCCTGAGATTCCTCCTCTTATGAGTTCCAAGTCCTGACAGCTCTCTCCCTCAGACCTCGGGAGGCCCCCACCTTCCAATGCAGGTCCAGGCACCCGACCAGAGAGGAGCTGGGTGGGGGGCAGGGCGGGCAAGGCCAGGCAGGCGATTGGGCTGCGGGGTGGAGGGGAGGGAGGGACGGGATAGACGGCTGCACTGCGGAGCCCAGCGGACGGGCGGGGCGGCCTACGGACAGGGGATGGCAGGTGCTACTTCCACGCCCGGTTCCTGTTAATGGTACCAACCTTACTTCTACCCGACTGGGAGCCAGGGCTTTCTTGGTTATTGCCAGCAATGAGTCTGGGTATGAGTGGTCTGGGAGGGAGGGGGGAGGGGGGACCACCTTGGTCCTCTGCCCCTCCCACTTCGGGAAAAATGGGCGGGGTGGGGGGGCCCCCCGCGGGAGATGAAGGAGTTATTCGGTTGCACCCATGGCCTAGAGGGGAGAGGGAGAGCCGAATCAGGGGCCTGGGGTACATAAGCCAAATAAAGGAGGGGAATAGACGGGAGAAGCTCGGGTCGGGGAAGAAAGCTTGGGTGTCAGATCCCCGCGGGTATCTCCCTTCCGTGGGTCTCGGGTCTTGGATGCTCTGCCTGCAACTCCCAAATCTGCCGCCAGGGGCCGCAGAAACTCTGTCCTTGCAGCAGGCTCGTGTGTCGAACCCCTTGGTGGGGAGGGAATGCGAAGGCGAGGGACCAGGCACGACCTTTATGGCTTGGAAAGTCTTAGAAACAGAGAGGGAATGTTAGTACCCGCGATAAAATCTTGATATTTGTCAGAGAATATTGGAAATCAATTCTAGAACGTTGGTTTCACTAGCGAAAAGTTGGTGTCATCCTTAAAATGTTGATATGACTCATATGTATTTAGCATCTTAGTCATAGAATCTTAAAACCAGAGTCGAGAGGCTCCTGATTCGTAGTCTCTTAGAAGGTTAGAGAGGAAGGGACTTCCCTAAGGTCACGCCTCCAGGGCGCCGCAGCAGAGAGGAGTGTGCGGACAAGGGCTGAGAGCTATGGGGATTTCCTTCCCCTTTTCTTGGCCCACATCCAAGCGTCCCAGCCCCAGGTTACTGGAGAGGAAGGGGGCGTGGCTGGCCCTAGGATTAGACCAGGGAAGGCTGGAGGGACGTCTCACCTCGGGCGTTGTAGCTCCTGGGTGGCCCCCCGCAGCCAGCGCTCCCTTGCCTTCCAGATGACAATTTGTCGGGCACGAGCGGGATGGAGGTGGACGACCGCGTGTCGGCGCTGGAGCAGCGGCTGCAGCTGCAGGAAGACGAGCTGGCGGTCCTAAAGGCCGCGCTGGCTGACGCGCTGCGTCGCCTGCGGGCATGCGAGGAGCAAGGCGCTGCTCTGCGCGCGCGGGGCACCCCCAAGGGCCGGGCGCCTCCGCGCCTAGGCACCACAGCCTCGGGTATCTTCACTAAACTGGAGGGGTGAGATGGGAGGGACTGGGGCCAGGACCTCACACTCACGCCCTTCTGTTCTCTAACCCCATTCCTCTAGTGTGTCAGCTCTTGAAAGGCCTTCCCACTAGGACGCCCCTCAATGGCTCGGGACCCCCGCGGCGCGTGGGCGGCTATGCCACGTCCCCATCCTCCCCCAAAAAGGAGGCGACCTCCGGGCGCAGGTAAGTCACGGAAGCCAGGATCCCCAGTTTCCTCCAAGACCTCGGAGGCTGTTTATGTGGAAACGGATGGACTCATATGTCCGAACACCAGCAGTGGAAGGTCCGGGGAAGTTCTTGCTCGCCTCCGGCACTCGCCTGCTGGCCTCGCGGGCTCTGCCCCTACCTACGTGCTCTCTATTCGCAGTGCCCGCCGCTACTTGTCACCAGAGCGCCTCGCCTCAGTGCGCCGCGAGGACCCCCGCAGCCGCACCACATCCTCCAGCAGCAATTGTAGCGCCAAAAAGGAAGGGTAGGTGTCCGAAGCGGGGTCGTGACACAACGGGTGGGGCCAGGACCCCAGTTAGGCTTGGAAAAGGATGGGGAATTTAGGGTGATGCCCCAGGCCACGAGGTGATAACCTAAAGGGCGGTCATCTAGTTCAGAATGCGGAAACAGTGCCGGAGGCTCGGAGAGACCAATCTTGAGATAGCGTGGTTGAACTGCGAGGCATGGAAACGCGGAACCAACACGGAGGGGCGTGGTCAAAGCATTAAGGGGCTGGACTAGAACCTAGGAGACGTGGATGATTAGCGTCTCTTGGATGAGCCGGAGTAGAAGTTAGGGAGGAGCCAGGTTTGTGGGCGTGGCTATTAAGGTAAAGGGGAGAGTCCCCATTGAGTCTCAGAGATGTAGCCAGGGCAGGGCCCTCAGAGGAGTTTCTGCAGGAAATGGGGTAATCAGAGGGAGGGAAGTGATTGGAATTTGAGGGTGTGGCCAGAGGGTTAGCCAGGGCAGAATCAGAACCTGGGGTGGGGGTAATGGGCTAAGACCAGGTGCCGTAGTGTCCGATGCAAGAAGCTGGGCGGGGGGGAGCCTGGGGCGCTGCCAGGTGGAAATGGGCGTGGTTTGAAAGGTGGGCGTGGGCAGATATCAGTAGGCTTGAAGGGACTCTAGGTGAAAGTGGTCACGGTCTGAAGTTTAACCGGACCTGAGGAGGGTAGGCGGTTCCATGGAGAGCTGTCAGTTCAGGGGCAGGATCGGAAGGAGAGGTGTGTATGATCAGAATGTTGGGCGCGGTCAAGTTCCCAGAGCCCGGGCCACACTGAAGTTCTGGGCGGTGTAAAAACCTGAGTGTGGAGTCCTGATGCAGTGGGCGTGGTCAGGGCTTGGTGGGTCCGGACTAAGGCAGGACCAGAGTCAAAAATCACACATTTCAACCTCACTGAAATAATGGCAAACACGTACAGAAGCTATGTGCCAGGCACCACGCAAGGCATGTTACATGAATTAACTAATTTAAGCTTCGCAATCACCCGGGAGGTATGTATTTTTATTATCCCCAATTTAAAAGTGAAGAAATCGAGGCAAGAGGTTTGGCAACTTGTCCACACTGCTAGGAACTGGCAGAGCTGGGGTTTGAACTCAGGCAGACACGTCCCCGAGTCCATGTTCTCAAAAAACACTCTCCCTCCCCCCAAAAAAGAGCCTGGTATCAGGACCCACAGCCAGGGACCTGAGACCCAGTGTGACCCTCCGGCTACGGGGTTGGCAGTGGAGGGCGGGGCAGGGCGCGGCGGCGTGGGCGCCTCCCAGGGCCGGAAGCGGCGGAGCCGGTCCCGGCTCCACCCCCGGCCCCGAAGCTTCGCCAGCCGCCGCCATGAGTAGCTTTGGAGCTGGGTGAGACTCTCTCGCACACCCCCCTCCTCCTCGCGCTACCGGGATCTGGATCCCAGGTTTCCCCCTTCTCCGGGGACCCAGACCCGCGGGCATCACCACCTTCCGTCAGCAAAGGGAGTTGGAGACACGCCCCTTCCCTTAAACCCTCACCTCTTCCCTCTCTGCTTGAAGTTTGGGGCTCTGTGGGACTGGGGGTGGGGAGCGTTGGGAGAACCGTGCTGATTAGGTGGGAGGGGTACCTGTGACGCTCCTCTTTCAGGATCGCGTCCCTGCCACTTCGTGCTGTTTGATCTTTGGCGATCACTGCCTCTCTGGGCCTGTGTCTTAGGCTCTGCAAGATCAACCGAGCAAAGCACACGGCCTGCAGAGAGGCAGCGCTCCGCTCCTTACTCGGCCCCCATTTTTCATCAAATACCTCCGGGGAGCGCTGGGGTGGGGAAGTGGTTTCTCCCAATTTCTGACTTGCCTGCTAATTAGGGCTTTCTTTCTTTTCTTTTCTTTTCTTTTTTTTTTTCCCTTTCCTGACAGCAAAACCAAAGAAGTTATCTTCAGCATGGGTAAGTAGGGAGAATGGGTGGGGCTTCCTGGGGTGAGAAGCCAGAGCTGGAGGTCAGGAAGCCTGGCTACTGGCTGGGCCTTTGCCTCTTTGGCCTCATTTTCCCCGCCTCTACTAATTAAAAAAGTAAAAAAGTGAAGTCGGAAGGGGAAAGGAAATAGGGTTGGGGGCTGGTGTCAGCACCTGACCTCTGGGGTGTTCTGGCAGAGGAGGGCTCCGTGAAAATGTTCCTGAGGGGCCGCCCTGTGCTCATGCTGATCCCCGACGAGCTGGCACCCAGCTACAGCCTGGATACACGCTCCGAGCTGCCTTCCCGCCGTCTCAAGCTGGACTGGGTGTATCCTTTTGCTTTAATCTCTTCCTCCCACTTCTCCCAACCCGCCCGCCCCCAGCCTGGAAGGGACCAGAGCCTTTCTGGTGTGGGACTTCAGCTGGAGGGAGGGTCTTTGTACTGAAGGTGGGACTTTCCAGGCCTCTGTGGCTTTAGGGGTCAGGAAGAACTGGAGTCTGGAGGGAGCAGAGGAAGGCAGGTTAGCTGACATGACCTTTTATGATTCATTCAAGGAGCAAATGTTTGCTGAGCGCCCTCCATCTGTCAGATCCTCGTCTGCATGTGGGCTGTGTTCCCTGAGCTCACACAGTCTGGGAATACAGTAAACTAAGCTCAAGTGAGAGGAGTAACTGGGTTTCTCTGAGGAGAGGGCATTTGAGCTGAGAATCGGACATTCAGGGGCCAGCCTAAGAAGAACAGAGGGCATGGCAGGTCTAAGGGCTCTGCGGTCAGAGTGAGCTTGGTGTATTTGAGAAATGGAAGAAGTTGATAATGGTTAAGAACCCTGTCTTTGGAGCCTGGCAGAAATGGGTTGAAACCCCAGCCCAGCCTCTGGCTGGCTACGTGACCCTGGACAAGTCACCATGCCATTCTGTGCCTCAGTTGCCCCCTCTGAAAAATGGGTGTCGTGATCTCAGATTCATAAGGCTGTGAAACAATGTGCTCATCATATGGGCCCCATAAACAGAGATTGATTAAAATAATAACTAATCATTATTGAGCACTTATTGTATGCCAGGCACTGTTCAAAGCTCTTTCAAGTATAAATACGTTGAATAATATGATCCTTCTCTTTTGTAGGATTGAGAATATATTTTTACAACAAGTGGCCTCCGAGAGCTCTCTGAGGCCTGCAGGTTGGGAACTATTACCCTTTCTTTCCAGATGAGGAAGCTGAGGTCAAGAGAGGGGACCAAGCAGGAAGAAAAACAAATATATTAACGTATATATGTGGAACCTAGAAAAATGGTATAGATGAACCGGTTTGCAGGGCAGAAATAGAGACACAGACGTAGAGAACAAACATATGGACACCAAGGGGGGAGGGGGCTGGTGGGATGAATTGGGAGATTGGGATTGACATATATAGACTAATATGTATAAAATAGATAACTAATAAGAACCTGCTATATAAAAAAATAAATAAAATAAAATTTAAAAAAAAAAGAGAGGGGATATCAAGCCCTGTTCTAGGGAGTCAGCAGATCTGAGGCAAGAGCTCTGATTCTGAGCCCCAGGCTTTTCCCAAAATGCAGACTGGGGCTTGGGATCAGCATCTTAGGGACCCAGTCCCTGTCTTCCTCTCTTGGCCTTGGTTTCTGCTCTGGAGGAGGGAGGAATGTGGGAGCCCAGAGCCTCTTTAAGGCAGCTGGAAATATTCGCAGGAGTCAAAGAATACCATGCTGTCATGTCAAGCTGGGCTTGATAAGTGAGCATCAAAAGAAAAGCAGTTGAGATAGCAACAGTCAGTATAGGCCTCATTCCCCAGCCCCAAATGGCTGCAGGGTGAAGCAGTTTCTGTGGGGTCGGGATACACATATCGACATTCATTCAAATGTTTCCTGAACATTCTGGGGCTAAGGGCTGGGTTCCAACAGTCCCCAAATCACAGTCCAGTGTGGGGACAGAATCTGTGACAATGACAACTCAGGCTGGGATGGGAGAACCCAGAGAGGGCAGCTGACCCAGCCTGGGCATCAGGGAAGGCTTCTCAGAGGAGGAGTTGTAGAAGAGAACAAAACAGCCCAGTCTTGGCCACTGTGGAACTGATAGTCTCATTAAGGAATAGGTGACGTTAACAAATTGATCAGATAAGTGGGATGAATCTAGAGGAGGAAGAGAGCCTGAAGCTTGATCTGAGGACAGGGCAACTGAGAAGGGTGGCAGGTAGCTTGTGCTAGACAAAGGGGAAGGTTAGTGCCAAGACCTGGGTGACAGTAGTGATCTTAGTGTTTTGAGAAGCTCCAAGGTCAGAGAGCAAAGGAGGGCAGAAGCCCTGCTAAGGCCAGGGAGGGGCAAACCAGGCCAGTGGAGGAGCTTGGGCTTTGTCTTAGGGGAACTGGGGAGCCACAGAAAGTTCTGAACAGAGGAGGGTCACATTCCTTCAACAAATATTGAACTCATGTCTGCTGTGTACCAGGCCCTGATCTGGTCACAAGGGGTACATCAGTTAACAAAATGGACAGAGGTCCCTGCCCCCCTGGAGCAGACACTGTAGTTCGGGAGACACAAAATAAATTAAACAGATAACGTGTGGGATGCTGATGAATGTACTGCAGGATTATGAAGAGGGAGGGGGATGGGGGCAGTTGAGGGTGTGTGAGTTTGCAGTTTTTTTGTTTGTTTGTGTTTGACTGTGGCGCGACTTGTGGGATCTTAGTTCCCCAACCAAGTATTGAGCCCAGGCCGCGGAAGTGAAAGCACTGAGTCTTAACCACTGGACTGCCAGGGAATTCCAGTTTGCAGTTTTAAATAGCTGGGAACTATTTGGGAGAGGCTTGGGAAGGCCTCTCCAAGGAGCTGACAGTTGAGTAGAGACCTGAAGCAGGTGCGGGAGCCATGGAGAGATGAGGAAGAGGCCCCTGTCTGTCTCCCAGCTTTTGGTGGCTACTGGCAACCCTTGGGGTTCTTTGGCTTATAGTTGCTTTACTCCAATCTCTGTCTTCACACCGCCTTCTCCCACCCTGTGTCTGTGTCTTTTCTTCTCTGTCCCTTATAAGGACACTTGTTGCTGGAGTTAGGGCCCATCCAGATAATCCAGGATGATCTCGTCTTGAGATCCTTAATTACATCTGCGAAGACTCCTTTTCCAAGGAAGGTCACCTTCACACTTCCCCAGGGGTTAATATTTTGGTGGACATATTTTTGGGGGATACCATCATTCAACCTCCCACAGGGGTAAGAGTGGAAACAGGAAAACCTAGCTCTGATGACCTTCATCTGGGAGTCAGTCAGCAGATGCAATGCAAAACAGGCTCTTTAACCAGCCCCTGGGCACCTCCAGCTATGGCTACCGTGGCCGAGACTGCCGGGCCAACCTTTACCTGCTGCCCACGGGGGAGATAGTGTACTTCGTGGCCTCTGTGGCTGTGCTATACAGTGTGGAGGAGCAGAGGCAGCGGCACTACCTGGGACACAATGATGACATCAAGTGGTGAGGCCTGGGAGGAGGATGCCAAATATTTCCTGCTTGGGACACTCCTGGGGGAGGTGGGTGGGGCCAGGCCTTCCCTGGCCAACAGGCTGAATTCAGGGGGAAAAAATGTGGATTGATTATCAATATGTCAAATGTCGGTGAATTCACTCAGATGCCTGAATTTTTCACTTCTTTTGAAAACTTCAGGTGGGCACCCCAGGCGATCCCACAGTGTGCTGGAGCCCTGTGGTGGCAGCCCCTTTATTTTTTATTTTTTTATATTTAGCCTCACCGTACAGCATGTGGGATCTTAGTTCCCCAACCAGGGATCGAACCCGTGCCCCCTGCAGTGGAAGCGTGGAGTCTTAACCACTGGACCTCCAAGGAAGTCCCTTTTATTTTATTTTATTTTTGACAGCCCTTTTAAATGGGTGTGTTCTCCTGGCCGTTTGTGGTACAGGCTTGAGCCCTCTGGGCACTTGAGTTAGAGACCGCAGGCCTGAGTCTTGCTTCTGAGCCAGAGTGCCCAGAGAGTATACCCTTATTGCTACTGAAGAGCTGAATCAGTGTTTATTGACTAAGTAACTCATTCAAGCAAACTGCGGAATGAATAATCAGGCATCGCGACTGTGGCCTGCTGTGGGAGGGGTCCTGGTGTGCTGTGAGCACCCCCCTGCTGAGCCCTGTCCATCTGCCCTCTCTCTCCTCAGCCTGGCTGTCCACCCTGATATGGTCACCATCGCCACTGGACAGGTGGCAGGCACCACTAAGGAGGGGAAGGTAACAGAGTGGAGGGAGCAGGACCTGGAGACTGGGATGGAGTCGTGGGTGGGTCAGGAATCTGGGCCCCCCAGGTAACCGGCCTCTCTCTTCCCTGCAGCCACTGCCGCCCCACGTGCGCGTCTGGGACTCCGTTTCCCTCTCCACCTTACACGTACTGGGCCTGGGGGTGTTTGACAGAGCTGTGTGCTGTGTGGGCTTTTCCAAATCTGTAAGTCCTGTGCCATCCCTCGCCTGCCCCGGGCGTCCCTTGGGGCTGGAGGCCACACCTTCATCATGGCGTCACAGGTGCTGGCCACGCCCCCTGGCCCTCCAGGCTGTGTGCCCACATTTGTGGCCTCACAGGCCTGCTCTATTAGCCCTTATGAGGGGACCATATGTCTTGATTGCTCCGCAGAGAAACTCCTCAGTGATCCTTTGTACGTCAGTTAACGCTTTCTGCATTATTTTTTCACACCACCTTTCATTCTGGAAGGGTCCTTATCCCTTAGGCATTTTAAGCCCTGTGTCTAGGGCAGCCCTGGCTCCTAGTACCATCCTAAGTGGGTGTTGGCAGGTATGGAGGAGATAAGCACAGAAATCGAGAGTTAGCCTTTAGGAATTTGTCCAGCAATTTGACATTCACACAACATCCAAGTGTGTGAGTGGTGGGCTTTTTTTTTTTTTTTTTAATCATATTTTACAGTTTTACTGTATTTTACCAGAGTATTGGCTGTAATGGATCGGGGAATAAAAAACAACCTGTCATCCCATAGACAGTTTAAAAACCTCACAGGTTTTCTGAGACCTGAGGAGACACTTGAGAACTTTGGGGAAATAAAGCTATTTTGTTGCCAAAATGTGGGGGAAAGGAAAACTTTGCAAAATCAAAACTAACCTGCACTTAACTACAGGTATAAAAAAGCAACATCATCCCGACTTTATTAACTGTTTAACTTCACAGCCCTAAAAGTCATTCCATAGGAAAATGCAGATTAGAGGCTCTCAGTAAGAATTCCTGACCTCGGGCTACTTGCAGAGAAATTGTAGCTGAGGGGAAATTAGAGGAAATTCTTAGGGAGGAGTCATTTCAAAAGGAAAATTATAAACAGCCTTTAAAATGTGTGTGGCCCTGGACGGGGAGTATATTTTCATGTGTTTCACATGACTTGGGTCAGGGCCTTTGAAACAGGCCTGAGTAGCTAATGCCCCAGTGGGCAAGGTGTTGGAGGGAGGGGGTGGATCCTGACCCGCCTGCCCCTCCCCCATCCTCTCTCCTCTTCCTAGAATGGGGGCAACCTCCTCTGTGCGGTAGATGAGTCCAACGATCACATGCTTTCTGTGTGGGACTGGGCCAAGGAGACCAAGGTGGTAGATGTCAAGGTGAGGTAACCCTTCTTATCCCCTCTCCTTGGGGTCCCCCTGTGGGATTGGCCAGATCTCAGTGTTCACAAGTCTGGAATCAGACTCATGTTGAAGTCCTGGCTTTGCCATTTGCTGGCTGTGTGACTTTGGGCAAGTGGCTTGCCCTCTCGGAGCTTCAGTTGCCTCATCTATAAAATGGGGATAATGGTAGCATCTTCCTTGTAGGGAAAATTTGGCTTTGATGTTGGCATATGGGGTGGGCAAACCAGGCCCAACAGGAGGATCGGTACAAGGTGGCTGCTGGTTCTGCTGTCCTGCGATGTCCAAGACAGACCTTGACTTGCATCTCCGGGAGATAACCTGCTTTACAGATGAGGAACCTGAGGCATGGTAGAGGGGAGAGCTACTTGCCCAAGGTCATGTGCTTATTCTGGGCTGGGGGCAAGAGACCTAGGATTGGGGCCCATGGTTTGGGGAAAGAGAAGTAGTTGAGAGGCTGGGCTCTCAGTGACTTGATTCTGGACACAACCTGGCTGTGTGTCCTTAGGCAAGTGAATTCCCCTCTCTGAGCCTCACTTCATCATCTGTAATGGGAGGTGCTAATGAGCCTTACCTTACCGGGTGCTGTGGGGTTAAATGAGTTGATGGATGTTAAATGCTTGGCACAGAGCTTGGTACAAAGTAAGGGCTCTCGTGCCTGCCATTATGTTGATGAAGAAAACAGTAATGTTTCACTGGCTGGCCCTGCTTCCTGTACTTTAGTTTGCCCGTAAAGGAGAGGTACAGGCAAGTTGGGCGTGCAAGCGCACAGCCCACACAGCTGTATAGGGCAGTCCTTCCTGGGTTGGGTATCGTGGTCCTGATGGCTTTGAGGTCCTCATTCAGAATCTCCCCCACCCCTTAAAGTGCTCCAATGAGGCCGTGCTGGTGGCCACCTTCCACCCCACAGACCCCACCGTGCTCATCACCTGCGGGAAATCCCACATCTACTTCTGGAACCTAGAAGGAGGTGGCATGAGCAAACGGCAGGGCCTCTTTGAGGTGAGTGCCAGGGGTACTGGGACAGGCTGGCCCTGAAGGAGGCTGGCAGGGACACCCAGGCAGACAAGAAGATACCCCAGGGGCTGGAGGTTGTAGGGATGCTGAGCTATTGCCTGCTGGGGCCTCAGTTCCCTTATCCATACCAGTGGCGTGATCCACCTTAACTCTTTGAAGTTGTGAGGGTTCCGTGGGATGAAGAGTGTAGCGACTCCTAGCAGATAGTGGATGCTCAATACATGGGTTGCTGCGGTCGTCAATATTCTGGATAAACCGAGGTCAGAGGCTGACTGGCCGAGAGAGACAGAGAGAGAAACAGCAGGAAGCACAGGGCCTGGGAAAGAAGATGCAGGCACACCTCTGACAGGGCTCCTTTGCCTTTGGTGAGAGTTGGGGCTTCTACCCCAAAAGGGGAGGCCCTGAGAACACCAGGCTCAGATGGAGATATTGAGATGAGAAGAGGGTGGGGCGGGGCAGGGTGAGGGACCTAGAGACAGACAGAAGAGGGGGCGGGAGGGAAGGAGAGGAGAGGGGCAGGGGCAGAGAGGGGGAGACCAAGGGACAGAGAGAGAGGAATCCAAGCGGAAGACAGCAGGGGAACGAAGGACAGAGACTGGGACAGGAGTCAGGGAGGAGAGAGAGGAGGGAGGAAGGGGGTCCGGGGTGGGTCAGAAAGTGGTCTGTAGGCGACGTGACACTCCATGGAGGTGGATTGGAGATGAGGATGCTCCCCACAGGGCCGCTCCCCAAAGCATGGAGGGCATCCCCTGGACCATTGTCCTGGGTGACGGGTGAGCTCTGGGAGGCCTCCCGGCTTCAGCGACCCTCTGACACCTTCCCCTTCTCCCCCACCTTAGAAACACGAGAAACCGAAGTACGTGCTGTGTGTGACCTTTTTGGAGGGTGGCGATGTGGTCACCGGGGACTCTGGGGGGAACCTCTATGTCTGGGGCAAAGGTCAGTGTCAGCCCCACCTGATTGGTTCCCCAGCCCGGTCCTCCCTGACTCCCTTTGGCCGTGCGTCCCTTTCTCGGAGCATGCTGATGTGGAATGTACTATACAACAATACAAGTCATTACTTGTCCAATTCTAACACCTCCATCAAGGCTCAGCTCCAGTATCCCCACCTGCATGAAATCTTCACTTATTCCCTCCCCTTGTCCTCTGCAAATCCCATGGCAGCGATCAAGTTTGAGCTATAAATGAATGGGTTAACCCAGTGTGGATGGACGGATGGATGGAGAGGTGGTTTGTTCCAGAGCAATGAATGAATGAATAAGTTAATGAATGAATGAAGCGTTTGTCCCACCCAGTGAATAGAAGAATGAGTAGATGAATATGCTGTCCTTAATGGGTGGGTGATTAGGTGAGTGAACAATTAAATATATGAATGGCTGTCCCCAGAACGGATGACTGTGTTAATAAATGACTGGGTCTTTTCCCAGGCAGTGGATTACTGTAAAGTTACGAATGAATGAATGAATGAGTTTATTCAGTCATCAAACCACTTCCTGGAACAATCAGTTCTTCATAACATGTTAATCCATTGGCTGAGGTAACCATTCATCTTGGGGTAGTGGGTGAGGAGTGGGTTTGGGAGTTGGGCAGGCTTTGGGTTCAGGTCTCAGCAGTGCTGTGTGCTCTCTGTGGCCTTGGGAGAGTCATCTCCCTTCTGAGACTCAGTTGCCCCATCTGTAAAATGGGTATAATACTCTCCCTCACACGGTTGTTTTGAGCTTTTCTTGAGATTAGACAGCTGAGAATAAGTTCTGAATAATTGGCAGTGTGTCTTTCCCAGCAGACTTTAAGCTCTCTGAGGGCAGAGACTTGGTCTGATTGGTTCCCATATCTCCAGTCCCACCACTGGGTCCAGCCCGCAGGGCTACAGGATGTTGGGTGGGTGGGTGGTTAGAAAGATAGGTAGACAGAAGGATGTATGTACACATGACACCACTTCTGAGCCTGGAAGGATGGAATTGAAGAGAGTTGCTTTTTCTTCCTCTCCACTTAGTCCCTGCCCCAGCCTCTTCCCTGGTTCCCGGGCCTTCAGTCTTGTCCCCTCCAATTCAGTTTGTTGTCAGAACCAAATGTAAATCTGACCCTATCCTTCCCCTGCTGAACCCTTCCATTACTACACAGTTCAGATCCCTCAGAACAAGGTCTGGATTCCTCACTGAGGTCTGCAAGGTCCGGATTCCTCAATGAGGCCATGCATGGTCTGGCCCTGCTTTCTCTTGTCCCTTGCATGTTATACTTGGTCACACCAGGTTTCTTTAGTTTCCTAAATAGTCCATGTTCTCTCTGCCTTTTGCACATGTTGTTCCTTCTGCCTGGAACACTTTTCTACCCTCTGTTGTCCTAGCCAACTCCTACTCAACCTTCAGATCCTTGCTCAGCTGTCCCCTCCTCCAGGAAGCCCTCCCTGGCCCACCAGGCTAGGTGCCCACTCTGGGATCCCACAGTCTCCTGGGTTTCCCCATCCCAGCCCCAGCCATGTTGGGTCGTCACTGACTGGTAGTAGGTCTGTCTCTGAAACTGGACTGTGATCCCTGTGAGGGTAAGATCTGAGGTTGCCTTCATCAGTACCCAGCATCACCCAGCATGAGGCTGGGCCCAGAGTCAATGCTAGTTTAATAATTGTTGACTGAATGGATGGATGAACAGATGGTTAGGTTGACAGATGAGTGGATAGATGGGTGAATGGGTAGATGGATAGGAAAAAAAATGGAAAATGGGTGGATGTTTGGATAGAAGGATGGATTGACTGGTGAGTGGGTAGTCAGATGAAAGAGAGGGTGAATGAATGGATGAGAGGCGGATTGATGGATGGATAGAAGGAAGGAAGCGTTGATGGCTGCATGGATGGGTAATTGGATGGGTGAGTAGATAGATGGATGGACAGACCAGTAGATAGGTGAGTGGATGAATAGGGTTAGGATCAAAGGGTGGATGGGTAGATGTTACTTCAGATGGTTTATTAGATGGATGATAGGGTATTTGAATAGATGGGTGGTTGAGTAGATGGGTGGGTGGAAGGCTGGGTAGAAGAAAAGGTGAGTGAATGGCTGGATGTAGGATTGAGAGTTTGAGGTGTTTTCTGGGGTCAGTATGGGGGAGCTTCCCCATGCTGACCTCTGCCCCTGGCCACCCTGCAGGTGGGAACCGTATCACACAGGCCCTGCTGGGTGTCCACGATGGCGGCGTGTTTGGGCTCTGCGCCCTGCGGGACGGGACGCTGGTGTCAGGAGGGGGCCGCGATCGGCGGGTGATCCTCTGGGGTTCCGACTACAGCAAGCTGCAGGAGGCGGAGGTGAGGGGGAGAGGCTCATGAAGGTGAGGATACCTCCTCCCACCCCACTAATACTAGACCCTGCTCTCCCAGCCTGTCTCCCCCACCCCCCCACCCCACCTCTGCGTGTGTCCTACACTCATCTGCCTGCCCCCCACCCCCCTTTGCCTACTCAGGTCCCCGAGGACTTCGGCCCCGTGCGGACCATAGCGGAGGGCCGGGGTGACACGCTGTACGTGGGGACCACCCGCAACTCCATCCTGCAGGGCTCTGTCCACACTGGCTTCTCGCTGCTCATCCAGGTGAGCTTCTCTTCTGCACCTGCCCTGCTCCCTCCCCACCCGCCTCTCTTCTCTCCTCTGCACCATTCATTCCTCCTCTCTTCCCACTCCCATTTCACCTCACCTCCCTGCCCCATCCCTTATCCTCTGGCCTGGTAAACACCACTTACCTTCCCTTTAACTGCTCCTGATACATAACCCCACCCCAGAACACCCCATGGTCCAGCAATGGGTTAACTGGTAGCACAGCAGAGGGGTCCCAGGACCCTGCTCCAGCTGTGCTGCCCCCTGCTGGTCAGGTTGGTGTCCATTTCTGTAAGTGCCCTGGCAGGTTGTCACACAGGCCTTGAGCCACACACCTCCCAGGTCTTCAGCTACAAGGATCTAGGAAGACCCTCTGGAGTCTTCTCAGATGCGCATTCCTTCATCCTCGTGGGCCAGAACCCTACCACACATCCAAGTAAAAAACCCAGCCTACTGGGGGAATTCCCTGGCCGTCCAGTGGTTAGAACTCTGCACTTCCACTGCTGGGGGCCTGGGTTCGATCCCTGGTAGTCAGGGAAGATCCTGCAAGCCACACGGTGTGGCCAAAAAAAACCCTGGGATCGAAGCACAGCCCTGTCGCTCACTCGCTGTGTGATATGAGGCAAGTGAATAACCTCTCTGTGCCTCTGTGAACCAGGAGAATAATAGAACTGACTCATGGGGTTTTGTAAGGATTCAATGAGTCAATTCATGCACAGCATTTAGAATGGTGCCTGGCACAGAGTAAGGGCTCAAAGAGTCTTGGCCAAAATTACTTCTTGTTCAGTGACCCCCCGCCCCTTCCTTCACTCCTGACATGTATTTTACCTCTTACATGGTAGCTGAGATCCGTACGGCAGCTGCATTTAGATTCCCCCCCTCTGGCTCTTGTTTCCATGGAAGAAGATGAGGAAAAACAAGGGCTAGAGGGATTTCCTAGGGGTCCCAAGACCAGAATGGACCTTAAAGACCTCTAATAATAGTATCAATATTATTTAGTATTAATTATATTATTAATATATTACTAGCTTTCTATTATTTATTAACATTAATCATTATACTAATATCAATAATTATAATTCTGTTGATTATCGTTGTTAATTACTTTAATTATATATTAATAGTGCATGTTATCACTACTGATAATAGTCAGCCACTTCCATTTGGTGAGCACTTTGTACCAGCCTCGTACACTTTCCATCTATTCACACTTTCCACCCATAATGTGAGTGAGCAGAAAAATGCCATGAGCCACATACAGTGATTGGTTCCATTTTACAGAAGATGAAACTGAGGCTCCAAGGAGAAGTCATCTGCCCAGGTGACTGCCACAGTCAATAAGAGAGAGCTGCAGTCAGACTCACCAGGCTGAGTACCCTCCATGGGTTCCTACAGCCTGCTGGGCGCCATCTGTCTCCCAAAGTCAAGCTCCTACTCATCATGTCTCTTGCCTCCCATTGTGCACACTGGAAAGCAGAGACCTGGGGGGAAGGGCAACATTTGCCTTGAGCCCCACACTGGGGCAGGGGTCTGCCCAATCACAGCCTCCTTCAGATAACACTGGGGAAAGGGTCTTCCCTGGGTAACCTGTGGGGAGAGTGTGTTGCTGGGGCTAGTCCAGCACTTCTTTCTGGCATCAGACTTTGGGGAGGTGGGGGATGCAGAGGAAAGGCCTGGATTGGCAGTCTCCGTGCTGTCATCTCTCCTTTCTGCCAGGGCCACGTGGAAGAGCTATGGGGCCTGGCCACACACCCCAGCCGGGGACAATTTGTGACATGTGGTCAGGATAAGTTGGTGCATCTGTGGAGCGTGGAGTCCCACCAGCCCCTGTGGAGTAGGATCATCGAGGTAAGGGGATGGGGGACTTGGCACGCCATTCTAACAGAACGACTTGTCTCAGTGTGTCAGGGTTCAGTGCATCAAATGGAAGCCACACTTGGCGTCTTTAAGCAGAAGGAGATTTAATGCAGGGAACTGGGTGCTTACAAACTCACTTGGAAGTGCTAGAGGAGTGAGTTCTTGACTGGACAGAAGCCCAGAACAGCACCACAGAACTGACCTGCCAGAGGAGCTGCTGCCTCTGCCACAGTCAGGAAGGTGGGGAGTCAGGAACCACTGAGTTCAAGAAAATGCTGTCATTGTAACTGCAATCCAGGAACCAGGATGCTGTGGTCACTCAAGTGTTGGTTCTAGAGCTACGCTGTCCAACACATGTGGCTATTCAAACTTAACTTAACTTTAAATGTAAGTAGAATTAAACATTCAGTTTCTCCATTGCACTAGCTACATTCCAAACATGTGGCTAGTGGCTACCATATTGGAAAGTGCAGATAAAGAACATCTCCATTATCGCAGAAGGTTCAGTTGGACTATCTTGCTCTAGAGTGACCCAATGCTGGCTACATTTACACTGGCCAAAAACAGATACTCTGTGCCCTTGCCTTTTAAGGCTAGTGACTGCTCACCAGCATAGCAAATGCTATTGCTTTCACAACCCAGCTGATCAGTGGAAGTGGCAGAGCGGGGCCTCCACCTTGTACCTTCCAGAGCCCACAGTGGTGCAGCTGATTGTCAGACCCAAATCACAGCCAACCCTAGCTACAAGGGATTCTGGGCAATGTAGTTTTTAAGCTCTCTTGCCTGTGGGGTATGGGACAGTAGAAGGTCAGTCATCATATTCCCCACACTACCCTTTGAGGTTTTGCTCCAGGAATCCAGGGTTACCTATGATCCTGGAACACTTGATGGCCTTTGAACTTCTAGGAGTCAGGGATAGTGTACCCTGGAAATTATTAGGGCCATGTATAATAATCCTCACTCTGGCTGCCTAATTGAGCACCTACTATATGCCAGGACCTGTGCTCAGCACAGCAGTTCTCTAGCCAGGGCATAAGAACCACCTGAGTTGTTAGAAACACAGAATCCTGAGCCCCAAGCATGGGAAGTCTGGTTCAGGAGGTCTGAGTTTAGTCCCAGAAATCTGCAATTTATAATAAGAACAAGCTCCCTCGGGTTATTCTGATTCGGGCAGTCTGCCCACCATGCCTGACATTGGCTTAGCACTTTACCCACATTGTCTTCTTAACTCCCTCGCCCCCCAACCTCCACAAGGCAGTAGAGATGATGGATCGCCCAGAAACGGGAAGGTAAAATCAGGAAACGGGCCCAGAAAGGTAACATCACTTGCCGTTCGTAATTACAATCATAGCTGACCTTTATTCAGTGCTTCCTGTAGCCCGTCTTACTCACCAGCTTACCATTCTAAGGACTTTACACCTTGCTTATAACAGTCCTGGGGAGTGTGTATTGATGTTCTCCGTGTGGGGCAACCAAGGCCACGATGGGGAAAGTTATTTGATGTCACATAACGAGGAAGTGTCAGGGCCACAGTTTCAAACCACTTCTGATTCCATGGTGCTCTGTTGCCTGCAAATCAACCAAATGCCCCCGAAATTTAAAAATTTTGTGCTAGGAGTTAGATAAAGATATGGGGAAACAGGCACTCAGACAAGCCTAATGATAAGTCAATATAATTTTATAAGGGAAAGCAAATTGGCATGATATATCAAAAGTCTTAAAAATATGGATAGCCTTTGTCCCAACGATCTCACTAGTAGAAAAGTCCCTAAGGAAATCATCTTGGGTTTATAAAGCTGTGGGAGGTTAAAACAGGAGTGAAAAAGGATCCAGAGTCAACAGTGAAAGGAGGAATATTTTCTCTTCGAGCTGACATGTTAAAGGAAAGGAGAGCGGTTTCCAGAGCATCTGCATCAGCAGGTTACTGGAGGGCAGCAGCGGGAGGTGAGAGCCCTCATGCCAGGCTGAGGGTTGCCTCTGAGGCTGGGGAAGTGTGGGCCAGATGGAAGGGGGACCCCAGCTCCCAGCCCTTCCTCTTCTCTCCCTCCTCAGGACCCGGCCTACTCTGCTGGCTTCCACCCCAGTGGCTGTGTCCTGGCCATTGGCACGGCGACTGGCAGGTAAAGCTGATGGGCATTTGGGGAGGGCTTCTCTGCGCCCCCCAGGAACTATCCCTTGATCACCTCCCCCTGCCTTCCCTACTGCCCCAAAGCTTACAGAGAATGATAATTAGGTACCAACTGTTTACCAGGCCTTGATCTCCCAACATTCCTCTGGAGTCAGCCTCTCTCCCTAATCTTTTCTGGGGTCCTTCCCTCAGGCCCCACAGATTGCCACCCTTCTCTACCAGATCAGCTCACCCCTCCTCTCCCACCATGCCTTCTCCTTAAAGATGGCTGCTGCTGGACACGGAGACCCATGACCTGGTGGCCATCCATACAGATGGGAATGAACAGATCTCAGTGGTCAGCTTCTCTCCAGGTAAGGGCCGGGGCCGGGGAGGGGACCTTGGAGAGGCCAGGCCTGGGAACTGAAGCTCAGAGTTACTGGCAGGGGGAAGGGGTGGAGTCTATGTGGCACGGCCTAAGGGCGGGGCCAGGCCTGTCGCAGGGATGGAACTTGGGACTACTGAGGAGTCTGGGATAGTGGGGGGCTGAATCTGAGAGAGGAGGGGTAGAGCCTGGGTGCCTCCTCATAGCCCCCTCCCCCTCCCCCAGACGGGGCGTACCTGGCCGTGGGCTCCCACGACAACTTGGTGTACCTGTACACGGTGGACCAGGGCGGCCGCAAGGTCAGCCGCCTGGGCAAGTGCTCGGTGAGTGGGCAGTGGCCCCCAGCCCGCGCCGCCACCCCGTCCAGGGGGTGCAGAATTAACCAGTTTTCTACCTCAAGGGCGCACAGCTTCAACACTCAACTGACTGCCCTGGTCACATCAAGGAGTTTTAGCCCCGCCCACACATTTACCCTCTCCTGTGTTTCAAGGCCGTCCCTTTGTGTAGCCCCGCCCCTCACGTTCTAAGCACACCCTCTGTGTAGCCCAGCCCCTTGCATTCGAAGCCCGCCCCTCCGTGTCTAGCTCTGCCCACTTGTTCTAAACTCCCCCTTGTGTTCTAAGCCCTATTTGTCTAGCCCCCGCTCATCACAGTCTGGCCCCGCCCATGATAGTGTGGCCCCGTCCTCACACCCCGAAGGCTTGTGTATCTTTCCTCGAGACCCCCCTGTGTTTTCACCCTACCTTTGTATTTTGCCTTCCACCCATCCTGGTCTGATCCTACCCGCTCCAGCTCTAACTCCACCCCTTCCCTCCCCTGCAGGGCCATTCCAGTTTTATCACCCACCTGGATTGGGCCCAGGACAGCAGCTGCTTCGTCACCAACTCTGGGGACTACGAGATTCTGTACTGTGAGTTCTCTGAAACCCAAAGGCATTCCTCCTTCAGCCTCTCTATTGCGTGTGCGATTTGCATAGCCTTCCCTGGGTTCTGGAAGGGGAAGCAGGGGCTTCAAGTCCCTTCTCCTCTGGCTGTTTTATTCAGGGGTTGATCTGATTGGCTGGTCTCCTGGCTTCTGGTTTCCTCCCTGGTGGACCCAACTTTTAACCAGTTCCTCCCCCTCCGGGTTGGATGGCTGGGGTACAGGTTTCTAAGCAGATACCCCTGCTCTCGTCTTGAGATGTCACCACCCAGGATCTAGCACCAGTCTGGAGAGGTAGAATTAGCCTCCTGTGTCGGACCTCAGTGCCCGTTGCCTGTGGAATGGATGAATTAAGTCAGTAGTTCTTTCTGTTTGGTTTTTGGTTTTTGGTTTTCTTGGCCGTGCCGCGCAGCTTGCCGGATCTTAGTTCCCCGACCAGGGATCGAACCCGTGCCCCCTGCAGTGGAACCGCGGAGTCCTAACCACTGGACCGCCAGGGAATTCACAGTAGTTCTTTCTGCTCTGAACACCTCCTCCCATTTTCTGCCCCAGGGGACCCAGCTACCTGTAAGCAGATCATTACTGCAGATGCTGTGAGGAACGTGGAATGGGCCACGGCTACCTGTGTCCTGGGTTTTGGCGTGTTTGGTAAGTTCTGGAATGGGGAAAGTCTTGCTGAGGACAGGAGTTCCAAGAAACATCCCTGACTGGTGGTTTTCACAGTCTCTTATTACCTCTAAGGTGGGAAACTCATTCCTTTAGACATGTGAGCAGCAGTATTTGTATTAGAGAAAAGGTTAGGGTGAGGTGACTACTCAGATCCCTTGGAACTGTAATGAAATGAGAACAATTGGGGGTGTCACCTGGCCCAGGGAGATTCACACAGCCTGTGTCCCAGTCACCCATTCATTCAGGCATTAATGCACTCAACACATACCCCCTGAGCACCTGTGTGCCCAGCTGGGCAGTGCTAAGACCCAGTCAGTGGTGACCACGACAGCCCTGACCCTGCCATCATGGGTCTCACAGTCCAGTGGAAGAGAGAGACCTGTCCCCAGACCACCCAGAGTAGACTGGGCTGGGACAAGGAAGTCCAGAGAGGACACCTGGCCCCAGCCTAGGAGGGAGTCAGGGAGGGCTTCCTGGAGGAAGGGACATCCAAACTGGATCTGCAGGATGAGGAGTTAGGTTCTAGGGTGGTGAAGAAGGAAAGCAATGGCTAGGCAAAGGGAATAATAGCCATGTATAAAAGCCTAGAGGTGACAGAGCTTGGTATTTGGAGAAATGCAAGAAGGCAGGATGGCTAAATCATTGCAGAGTTTAAGGGAAGCACTGGTAAGGACAAGGCAGGAGCAGTGTGGGGGACAAGGCAGAGCTTGGGGGTCATGGTGAGAAGCCTGGGCCATGGGAGGGTTTTTTTTTTTTTTGTGGAATCTTAGTTCCCTGACCAGTGATTGAGCCCAGGCCCTTGGCAGTGAGAGCGTGGAGTCCTAACCATTGAACCGCCAGGGAATTCCCCATGGGAGGGCTTTGAGCTATAGAGGGATAGGGTCAGATAAGCATTTCCAAAAGATTATTCCAATTCTCATCCCCGGCTAGAGATGGGCTAGGTGAGAGAAAGGCAGGGAGGCTGGGGCTGGGGCCTACTCGCCTTGGGGGTCCCTGGCCCCAGCTGCCATCTTACCACCAGCCACCCCCAATCTTGCCCGCAGGGATCTGGTCTGAGGGAGCAGATGGTACTGACATCAATGCCGTGGCCCGTTCCCATGATGGGAAGTTGCTGGCTTCAGCTGATGACTTTGGCAAAGTCCACCTGTTTAGCTACCCCTGCTGTCAGCCTCGAGTGAGTCCCTCTGGGGGGCTGGCAGGGTGGAGGTACCAAGCAGCACTGCAGGCAGGATTAAGGCAGCCCTTTCCGGATCCCAGTTTCACCGGCTGTACAAGGAGGGCAGTGGCTTGATCCCAGGGGCCCTTCTTAACTTGAAAGTCGATAAATTACCAAGTCTGTAGTGCTAAAGCTCTGAGCATCTGCATTGTGAGATCTTTGGTTCTTTTTCCTATTAACTCAAGAAATATTTATTGAGCACTTACCGAATGCCTGGGCCCAGGGAATACAGCAGTGAACAAGACAGATGACTTCCTTTCACTTCCTTCTTTCCATATCACAGGCTCTCAGCCACAAATACGGCGGACACAGCAGCCATGTGACAAATGTGGCCTTCTTGTGGGATGACAGTGTGGCCCTGACCACAGGGGGCAAGGACACCAGCGTGCTGCAGTGGCGGGTGGTCTGAACTGGCAGGTGGGGGGGTTCCCAGGAACATGGGGCCCAGGTAGAGTCAGGTGGCAGTATTGGAATTCTATTTTCGGGAGATGTCTATTGCCGAGTAGAGTAATATATACCCAGAGTATGTCTATAGCAAAGGGGGTTATGGGGGTGGGAGGGTGGACTGACAGACAGAAGTCTCTATTTATTGGGGTGGGAAAAGGGGTCACATTGCTTTGGGGGAGCCATTAGGGTGTTTGGTTTGGGGTGTTTTTTAAGTTTATTATTTTATATCATCCGGAAATAAAAACACGTGCACTGAGGTGGAGTGTCAGGGTCTGTGTATATGGTGTGTCCATAGATTGTGTCTATAAGTGTATATGTACGAGGTGTGTGTGTGGTGTGCAAATATTACAGCATTTGTGATGAGACACCATTATCAGGTCTTTATTCGTCTTTAAGCTTGATAGAAACCAAGCTTGCTCTAACTTAGGCCAGAGGAGGACTCAATTGATCGACATTGCCAAACAAGGAAGGGCAGTTGTTCCCTCTGGCCTTCAGGGCCATCAAACCAAGGATTTGAGGGCAACCAAGGTACTCCATACCTTCTCTGACCTTCTGCAAGTCAGCATGTTTCTCTGGGACCAGCATTCTCCACACCACGGAAGGATGGCACCCAGCAGCTTGAGCCCCAAGTCCAAAAATCCCAGGCAAGGGCTATGATTGGCCCATCTGCAGATCTCTCAACGTGGCCTGTTGTTTGGCCTGCTGTGATTGGTTCCGCTTGGTGAAGGCCAACCCTGGACCCATGATTGTGGCCAGGAAGATGGAATATGTAAAAACACGGAAGCCTCCACTTGAACCACGAGGTTGAAATAGGGCAAGGAAAGTTTTCAGAGAAGTGGACTGATGACACTATCGATGTCTAGGAGATGGGGTATGAGGATTCTGGGTAGCAAGAGACAGAAACCTAACTTCATCCAGCAGAAACAATAAGAAGCAATTGCCAGGTCATGGAACTGGGTAGTCCAGGAGGGACCCAGCTAGATTCAGGGGGCTCAGATGTGATTGGGGTTTTCCTTTTGGTGATTTCTCAGTATAGTATCTAACTTTGAGCAAATTTTTAACTTTAACTTTGTATTGATGTATGCTACATGCAGAGAAGTACGCTCATCATAAATGTATAATCACAAACTGATCCCATCCATGCAGCCAGCTCCCAGATGAAGAAGTAGAACATCCCCAGGCCCCAGAAAGCGTCCTTGTGCCCCTTCCTAGTCATTGCGCACCACCGCCCGGCCCCCGCCAGTAATCGCTATCCTACTTCTCACACCATAAAACAGTTTTACCCAGTTTTGTACTTTAAATCAGAGGTCAGCAGACTGTTTCCGGAAAGGGCCATATAGTAAATATTTTAGATTTTATGAACCACTCAGTCTCTACCCCGGCTAACTCTGACGTTGTGTGAAAGCGGTCACAGACGGTGCAGGCGTGAATGAGCTTGGCTGTGTTCAAATAAAACTATGGATACTGAAACTTGAGTTTCTCAACATTTTTGCGTGTCATGAAATACTATTGTTTTGATTTTTTGGGAGCCACTTAAAAATGTGAAAACCATCTTAGCTGACGAGCCGTACAAAGACAGGCGGTAGATAGGGTTTGGTCCACAGTGGTAGTTTGCTCACCTTTGCTTTAAATAGATGGAATCATAGAGTATGAACTCTTGGATCTGGCTTCTCCCCTTGAGCGGGTTTCTTAAGCCTCTCAAGGCCTCAGTTTCCCAATGTATAAAATAGAAGTTAATAATAGCACCTGCCCCATAGGGGTGCTGTGACAATGAGTTAAATACACGCAAAAGCTTAGGACAGTGCCTGGCACGTAGCAAGCTCTCTACAAATGTTAGCTGATTATTTTTACACTGTTGAGAACACAGACGCTGTGGCTGCAGGCATTCTGCCAGGCCACATGGTAACAAAGCCAGAGGAAGTCTTTCTCTCATACCACTCAAGCGTCTTCAGGAGTAATCTGATTGGCTCACCTTGGATCATGTGGCCAATCTCCATGGCCTAGGGAGTGGAGTCATCTGATTGGCCAGGCCTGGGTCACGTGCTCATCTTTTTGCTTAGGAAGGGGTTAGTGTACCTGGGACTGACAGCGCCACCTAAACCTCGCAGAATGGGTGGGGGAGTTCTCCCAAAGGAAGGGGGATGGGAAAACACTCGAGCAGGAGACGGAAGCTACCAGCAACCTCAGCATATTTATGTCAAGGTGGGTGACACCCTGGAGGGCAGGGTCAATAATGTTTCTGGGAGTTTGAAGACCCCTATTTCCAGTATCTATTGCTTCAGAACAAAGCATTCCAAAACTTAATGGCTTAAAACAACAACCATTTTGTTATCACTCATAGTTTGGTGTTAGGCATTCACCCATGATGGAAGTTTGGGTTGTGTCCATCGTTTGCTATTGCAAATAAGGCTGTGATAAACATTTATATACAAGTTTCTATTTGGACATATGTTTTCATTTCTCTTGGGTATATACCTAGGAGTAGAATTGCTGAGCCATATGGTAATTCTGTATTTAACTTTTTGAGGAACATGTGTGTGTTGTTTTAATTAAACAGTTTTGAAATAATTATAGACTCAGGGGAAGTTGCCAACATAGTACAGAGAGGTCCTCTATATCCTTCATCCAGTTTCCCCCAATGGTAACATCCTGTATAACTATAGCACAATACCAAACTTGGAAACTGACACTGGTAAATCTACAGACCTTATTCAGATTTCACCATTTTTACATGCCCTCCTGCTTGTATGCGTGTGTGTGTGTGTGTGTGTGTGTGTGTGTCTATGCAGTTTTATGACGTGTATAGTTTTCCAAGGGGGTTCCAGCAAAGGTTAGAAACTCCCTTTTATTTCCAAAATATTCCCAAAGTTTACCCGCTGTCTGTATATATGTATGTTTGCTCTCTGGTCTTTAGCTAGTTAACAAACCCTAATAAGCTCAATGAGGTCTGCCATCTGGGCTGTTCGTACCTCAGGTATGGGACTGTATTCTAAAGGAGACCTTAAATGAGTGATAGGATACCTCTATTTTCAGTTTTGAAGTATTGTATTAGAGAAAACGCCAGAGAAACAGAACCGGTGGGATGTATATATTATAAGGAATTGGCTCATTCAATTGTGGAAACTGACAAGTCCTAAGATCTGCTGGCTGAGTCGGCAAGCTGGAGATCCAGGAGAGGCAGAGGTGCAGTTCTGGTCTGAATGCCAGCAGACTCGAGACACAGAAAGAACCAATGTTTCAGTTTGAATCTAGAAGGTAGGAAAAAGCCAGTGTTCCCGTTCAAAGGCAGTTGAGCAGAAGATAGTCTCTCTTACTCGGGGAAAGGTCAGCCTTTTTTGTTCCATGCAGGCCTTCAACTGATTGGGTGAGGCCCACCCACATTGGGGAGGGCAATCTGCTTTACTCAGTTTCCCAATTTAAATGTTCAGCTCATCCAGAGCACCCAGAATGTTTGACCAAATATCTGGGCACTTCATGGCCCAGTCAAGTTGGTGCATAAAATTAATCATTACAGGAATGATCATCAATTAAAACATAATAGGTCAGCGTTCTCAATGGGAGTCTCTAATAAACCTGCAAGAGGTACAGAAAGTTCCCCAATCAAGGTAAGACAATTGAGGTTTCCTTTCTTCTGTTGGGCCAGAGAAGTGGCAGGATTCAGAGTGCTGCAGTGGTGAATAGAAGTAGGAGAGAGAGAGGGTAACAACTTCAGAAGAGGTTGGCTGGCTGGCTGAAATCATTGTGTGCTTTTAGTCAGTAGTGATGTGCTGGATGAGGAATCATAAAGTCAAGTGGGGTGCCTAGAACTAGCCCAGCAGAAGCATCAAGTTTTGCAGCCCCAACTATTGCCTTAAGACAAGGAGGAGAAGTCTGCTCTTGTTAATGACTCTTTACTGCCTGGTATGAAAGCATTTCAGTATTTTAACAAATGATACAGCCCTATCAGTGTGAACCAGCTGAATATTAACTGTGACTGTCCAGAAGGAGTAGGGATTGAATTGTTCTGATTCCTTTATCTTTGGTAGGCAAGATAATTTATGGTGATGCTATATAATTACCTCTCCCTCCCTTCTCTCTCTCTCTTTCTTTTATGTTTGAAGCACTGACATTTCCCCCCACTATTCTCGAGTTCAGTAGTTCTTACACTTGAAGGAGCAGTAGTAGAATCATCTGTAGGGTTTGTTATAATGAAAATGCACCTCCTCCCAATTCCCCATCCAGGGTTTCTAATTCCATCAATCTGGGTGGGGCCCAAGAATTTGCATTTCCAGAGAGTTCCCAGATGCTCCAAGGACCACACTTTGAGAACCACTGCACTAATAGAGCTATAATAAGGTAACAAATCTATAGGATTTCTCTAGACAGAGCAATGCATAGAATTTTGTAGAACATTACACACTTGTGTTTCTTTTCCTTGTCTGAACCGTACAGATGATCTCTTGGGATGGAAGGCTCAGAGCCTTGCAGTTTCAGAGTGACAGTTTATCAAGGCCATTAATTCCCAAGGGAAGGAAAAATTACTGCAGGAGAAACCTGCAAATCCCTCTTTGACCAGCAAGGAGGATTGTCCACGTGTCTCCAGGAACAGCTGCCTAAGCTATAACTCTCCAAATGTCAATATCCTTCAGAAGTGACAGCCCCCAGAGCCAAACGTGAAATTCTAGGAAGGGGAGGGTGTTCAATCATATCAAAGCGTTTCATCCCCTCCACATTTCTGGCCAGAGATCTCAATTAATATGACCAGAAGTCAATCATTCACTAATCAATTGCCCACGAGGATGAGGATTTTGGCTTTTAAGACTGTATTCTCAGGGCCTAGCGCAGTTTCTGGCATGCAGTAAATGCTCAACAAACACAAATGTTGATTAATCAATGAATGAATTCATTCAATATATGTAAGAAACATTTTACTCTAGGCCAGAGCCTGAGCTGGGCAGTGCTGGGCAGAGTGGTGACTGAGACAGCCCCAGCCCTGCCCTCAAGGGACTCAGTCCGGTGGGGAAGGCAGACCCATCCTTAGACAATGATGACCATAAGTGGGCAAAGGAAGGCCAAGTGGGTATCAGGGAGGGCTTCCTGGAGGGGACCACAGACCTGCCTATTGAAGGATGAGTAAGGAATGAACCAGGTAAAGTGAGGGGAGTGTTCCAAGTGGCAGTTCTGACAGCTCCCTCCTTCCTCCTATTCCCCCAACAAACTGTGACAAGGCCCCCTCTAGGCTCCAGCAGCCCCCTGGACCCCCATTCCAGCCTTGACCACTCTGAGGTATGACTGTCAGGGACAGATCTGTCTCCCCCTCACTGACTGCCAGCCCTGGGAGAGAAGGACCAGGGCTGTTGTGGTCACTGCCGTGTCCCCAACACTGCCTAGCCCAGGGCCAGGTACAGAAGCAAGGGCTCAGGGAGTGTTTACTGAATGAATGTAAGAGTGGTGTGTGTGAAACAGTTGAAAGTGTGTTAGATGAAGAGGATCAAAGTTCAAACTCCTCAACCCTAATTTCCCACCCCCAAGAAGTGGCATAACAGCAGGTAGAGACTAGAGCTCCACTGTTGGGAGTCCAGCATTTCCACTTACCCATCTAGGCCACATCTGTAAAACGGTGCCTCTGCATATGGTTATTTTGAGGATGAAATGAGTTATTCACATAAAGTGCTTAGAATGGTACTTGGAATGCAGTAAGTGGTCATTAAATGTTAGCTGTCTTTATTTTTCAATCATTTCTGATCCTTCCTCTTTTTTTTTAAATTTATTTTTGGCTGTGTTGGGTCTTTGTTGCTGCGCATGGGCTTTCTCTAGTTGCAGCCAGCAGGGGCTACTCTTCGTTGCAGTGCACGGGCTTCTCATTGCAGTGACTTCTCTTGTTGCAGAGCACAGGCTCTAGGCATGTGGGCTTCAGTAGTTGTGGCACGTGGCTCAGTAGTTGTGGCTCATGGCCTCTAGAGCGCCGGGTCAGTAGTTTTGGTGCACGGGTTTAGTTGCTCCGCGGCATGTGGGATCTTCCCTGACCAGGGCTCGAACGCATGTCCCCTGCATTGGCAGGCGGATTCTTAACCACTGTGCTACCAGGGAAGTCCCTGATTCTTCCTTTTTAAGCCAACATCCTCTCCTGTCCCCATCTCTTATATCCAGCCATTTGAATCACCAATACTTGCCCTTCCTTGTGACATTTCATGTCTCTGAGCCTCTGCACATGCTCTTCCCTCCCCGCTGGTACACCCTTTCTGAACTTGTCCACCCAGGGAACTCCTATTCAGCCGGCACAGTCCAGCAATCACATCAGCCCTCCAGACCTCCAGGTTTCAGATCTATGGGATCAAAGTCTTGTTTCCTGTCCTCCAGCTTTTGACCCTTCCCTAATGTCCAAGTTCTGGGGAAGTAAGTGGTCCAGCGCTAAGCATCCCTTTCATTGGGTCTCTTGGTGCTCTGTCACCCCCTTGTGCCCAGCCTCAGACCTGCATGGAAAAATGTGCCTAGAAAGTTCTGGGAGAATAGTGCTGGTAATTCTCCACTGTGTACCACAGGGTCACCCTCAGCCTTTCTCCTCCTGCTCTGGGCCCTGGGAGACTGCCCTGTGTGGGCTCCATCCACGGGAGTCCCTTGCCCTCTGCCTTCTGGTTGGCTTCTCCCCGTTACAGGCACTGACAGGGAATCTGAAGGTAAGTAGAGAGGGAGAGGTTGGAGTATTTATTTTCCGGGCCCCTCCCTGCATCCCTGCAGTTCTGGCAGTGGCTGTGTTCCTCTACCTAGAGCTACAGCTCCTATGGTCTCCACTCCAAACTTTAGCTTTCTGCCTGAAGGGTGGTAATGGCTTGCTTCTGGCTCCAGCTGGTTCCCTGGCGTTGCCCCACATTTTGTGGGTTATTTCACCCTGCCAACCTCTCTAAACCTTCCCTTCATAAATGTTCTCACTTAAATTCTTTTTTTTTTTTTTTTTTTGACCGCACCACGCACGTGGCTTGTGGGGATCTTAGTTCCCTGACCAGGGACTGAACCTGGGCCCTCGGCAGTGAAAGCGCTGAGTCCTAACCACTGGACCGCCAGGGAATTTCCCACCACTTAAACTCTTTGAATGGCTACCTGTTTCCTGCCAGGACCCTAACTGAATCACATAAACTTAGGGTGAGCCCAGGAGAGAAGGGGACCCTCGCCCACCAGTGCACTCCAGAATTTCTCCATAGGATGAGCTTGGGATGGCCAAGGGGCTGACAGGAGGGCTTGTCTTGAAGCTGATAAGATTTATATTGGGTTATTTGTGGGGAGGGGGCTAAAACCTTCGTGACACTTCCATTGGAGTGTCTCTGTCTGTCCCCTTGAAGGAGGGTGGAAGGAAAAAACTTTTACTCCTGTGTGTATTGCAGGTCACTTGGGTCCTTGGTTAACTCTCTCACTTTCTGTTTCCCTCAAGAGCCCTGAGAGGAAGGTGGTAATATGGTTCAGAGAGGTGAAGTCATTTGTCCAAGGCCACATGGTGAATGATTATAATAGCTACCTTAAACAAAACAGAAGTGTTTCATTACATTTCTGTGAAGCTCTGGAACAGGCAACACTAATTTCCAGTTTAAAAAAAAAGGAAAAGAAAAACAGAAAGGCATGGAGTTGCCTCTGGGGGTGAAGTAGGGTGTGAGTATGCCCTGGAAATGGGCAAAAAAACAATGTTCTCAGGTGATGGAAATGTTTATGTCTTAATTTGGGTGATTAGTCACATGGGCGTATCTGTTTATCACAACTCGTTGTACTGCTCTCTTAAGGTCCAAGCATTTTAATTTTTATTTTCAAAATAAATAAAAAAGAATTTGCAAGCCCATCTTTGAGTGCTACATCCCAGGTCGGTCCAAAGTGCTTTGCCCAAGAATGAATTCTCACGACCAATTTATGAAGAACGTGATGATAATAATCAGCAAATAGTTTTGAAGCACTTATCATTCGTGTATTTACTCTCTGAAAATAACGTGTATGGAACGCCTGTCTTGTAGTAAACTAACCAAACACAAAAATGACACTCCTCCTAGTGGGGAGGCAGATAATTAGAAAAAAAAAAAAAAGTGGGGCTTCCCTGGTGGCGCAGTGGTTGAGAGTCCGCCTGCCGATGCAGAGGACACAGGGTTCGTGTCCCGGTCCGGGAGGATCCCACATGCTGCGGAGCGGCTGGGCCCGTGAGCCATGGCCTCTGAGCCTGCGCGTCCGAAGCCTGTGCTCCGCAACGGGAGAGGCCACAACAGTGAGAGGCCCGCGTACCGCAAAAAAAAAAAAAAAAAAAGGTGAAATACATAGAATGTTGGATGGTGACAAGTTCTATGGGGAAAAGCAAATAAAGCAGGAGGTAGGGGATCATGGCGATGGCGGGGGCGGGTGGGTGGGTCATGTTTTATAGACTTGATAGTATGACATCCCCATGACAAAGGGACTGTGAGAGACCACGTTATCAGAAGAGGAAACTGAGGCACAGAGAGGTCACCAGCCTAAGTCTCGCCAAGAGGCAGGGCTGGAGCTGGAAACCCCAGGATTCCTTCCAGGGCTGGCGCTGACCATGGGCAGGGGGAACTAACAGACCCCTCGTTCTCTCCCTTGGGGAAGGGGGCATGCAATGATCAGAAAGTTAATGACTTGGGACTGGGGTCTCCGAAAGGAGGAAATCGTTCAGCTCAACGAGGGACCCCCCCTTCCCCCTCCCCACCCCCAGCTGAGGGCATGATCTAGGAGCGCGGGACTGGAGGCACGGTAACCAAAGGGGTTAATGAGGTGGGGGTCTCCAGGATGGGGATGTTGAAGGACTGGGGGGTATTCCAGCGGCAGGTGAGATTTCCCCAGGGCTGGAAGACACAGCCCTCTCTCCATCTCTCCATCTCACAGCCCTCTCTCCATCTCTTTAGCGGGGTGAAGGCTCAAAGGGGTTAAGGGGGAGCGACAAAGGAGGGGTTAATGGGGGCGGGCCCGGCCGGGCCGGGGCGGGGCCTCGGCTGGCGGCTCTGGCCCGGGGGCCAGTAGAAGTCGCCGCCGGGTTCCTGCGCCGCCTTGGAGCCCGGCTCTCCCAGCCGCGGAGAGAGACGCCACCTGCCCCGTCCAGCCGTCACGCGCAGGTAGCCGCCGGTCCCTCCCCTGCCCGCGCCGGTCCTGCGGCCGCCGGGGACTGCTCGTCCCCGCGTCCGTCCGCTGCCTCAGTCTCCCGCGCCGTCTCCGTCCCCGCCGCTCTCTGGGGCTGGCTCTTCCCGGCGTCTGACTTTGTCTCTGGGTGTGTCTCCATCTCTCCGTCTGTCTCTGATGTCTCTCTGGATCTGCGGTCCCTCTCCCTCTGGGTGTGTCTCTCCTTCTCCATCTCCGAATGTCTCTGTCGATTTCTTTATCTCTGCCTCTCCGTCGCTCTCTCACTCTGCCTCCATCCCTGTGTCTTGGTGAACTCTCAGTTTCTGTGGATCTCTCTGCTTCCATCTCCCCGTCTCTGGGCATCTCTTTGCCCTTTCCCTTCCTGTCTGTGTCTCTCGGTATTCCTCTGTCGCTGTCTCTCTGTATCTTAGACCCGGTTCTGGGAACTTCACCCCGTCATCTCTCATTCCAAATCCTCGCAAATTCCCACTTTCACCTGGGCCGAGGAGCTGCTTGGGAGTGGGGCAGGGGGCAGTAGGGTAGCCACCTGGGGCAGGTGGACTCTGAGCGCCCCTGTGACCCCGCCTCCCCCTTAACAGTCACCCCACTGCTCTGGAGGTCGCACCCACCCCACCCTCCAATTTCAGGAATTCCTGGCTGGGGGGTAAACTTCCTCCCCCACTTCCTCCCTTCCAGGATTTGGCTGGGTCACCCGTTAACTCCTTCCTGCCTTGGCTTCATCCCCCCCTCCTTGAGCTGGACACCCCCCACCCCCAAGCACGCTGAAGGACAGCTCTGGAATTTCGGTTGTGGGACGTGTGTTGTGTGCTCAGGCGGGACATGCGCTGGGGGAGTTTCTTGCGGGCACAGATGGAGTTAGTTGATGGGGGCCACATCCCCACCGCCCCCCACCAGGGCCCATCACCAGCCCCACTCTTTCTGAACTCACCAAGGGCCCCTCACAACTCTGTCTCTGTGGTTGAGCTTGACTTCAGGTTTGGGGTGAGGTTGGGGAGGTTTTCCTTTCTGCTGGTGGGGCATCCAATAGTAGAAAATGAGAGAGGCTGATGGGGGAGGGGCTCCAGAACTCTGGGAATCATAGAATCAAGAAGTCTTGCCTGTGAAGTCTTTGAATGAAAGGACCCAAGTAAGTGAGAATGATCAGAGAGGGGGACCAGGAATGCTCAAACCTTCAAATTAAAGGTCCTTAGGGTATTTGAATCCTTCAATCCAAAAAGCTTGGTGTTGGAATCTTGGCAGTTTTCAGTGTTCACGCACAGCCGAGAGCTTGAAAGTGCTTGCAGAGATAGCTAGACCAAGCCCCCTATTTGACAGATGGGGAAACTGAGGCCCAAGAGTAGAAGTCCCGGCAGTGAGTCAGTTTCAGGCTAAGGTTGGGACTCCAGTTCCACTGAAGCCCCAATCCAAAGATCTGGCTTCTTTCGCTGCCACTAAGTCGGATTCCTGTGGGGCAGGAGGTCTTCATAGGCAGGAGGGAAGAATGCCAAGGTGAGTGTGAATGGCTGGAACCCAGGAGGGAGCCTTTTAGAGGCAGAGGAGAGAAAATATTTCTAAAACCACGGTGTTGGAGAAGGAGAGGGGACAAGAGTTGGTCTGGGTGGAAGGGGTGGAGTTTCAGAGAAGGAGGGAAGTGAGGGGCAGGGGAGGCGGGTAGTGCAGAGATTAACTCCCGCCTGATTCTGTCTCCTGACCCTCCCCATGAAGCCCACTGCTCCCATAGGACAGGGCCTATAATTTGGTTTGTGTCTAGACAAATAATAACTCAGCTGGTGTGAGCGAGCAGGGAGGGACGTGGCAAGGCTCCCTGGGAGGCAGCCTGGGCTCCGAATGTCCCCCCCAGGGGGGTGAGAATTTAGGGACCAGGTGAATGTGGTGACTACCCCTCCGCCATTGAATCCTTAGTATCTTAGAGTTCTGCATAATCTTAGAACTTTAGGCTGCTAGAATGTTAAAAAAAAAAACAACGGATTAGATAGGGAGGAAAAAGGAAGTGAGGTTTACGGTATGTAGAGTATGTTCCCATTTCTGTAAAAAAGAAAAGGGAAATACATATTAGTGTTTGTTCAGCAAAGATAGTAATCACTGAGAACTAATAATAGATTCTGAAAGTTATAGAATGTTAAAAAAAATCATAGAGCGTTCTAACAATAGAACTTGAAAATCTTGGAATGTGAGACGCTGGGATGTTGGAAACTTAGAAGGAGAAGGGCATGGAAAGCCACCATGATAATAACAATAGAATGGAAGAAAGGTAACGCTCTAGAATGTTATAATAATAGAACAGTAAACCAGGAACTGGACTAACAATAGAACCTGAGGATTTGAGAACCTTGCATTCTAGAACATCAGATAGAGTCAAGGACTCTGGTGTCCCTTTTGGATGGTGTGGGGGGGTGTGGAGGGATGGAGACCCCTTCGGTAGAACTGGGGAAACTGAGGCCCAGCGGAGTGGTCACGGTGGCCGGACTGTCCCCCAGTTTCCGCCGGCCAGCCGCCAGGACACCAGGTGGGGAGCGAGGCTTGGTGATCACATTTCGTCCCCTAATGAGCAGACCGGAGCTGGCTGGTCCCCCGGGGCTGTCAGGGGAGCAGGAACCCTCAGAGGAGGGAAGTGGGGGTTGAGAGAGGCGACCTGGAGGCTTCTAGGACGAGACTGGTGAGTGAGGGGCTGTGGGGCTCTATTACCTCTCCATCTTGTCCTTTCACCGCCCCCCGCCCGCAGTCCTTCAGCCTTGCTGGACTTAGAGGTGGCTGCCAGGGCCCAGGGACTTATCTGGCTTGCGCAGCTGAGGTGCAAAGTGGGGGCAGTGGTCTGACAGTCCTTCCTGTCTCCCCACTATCGCTCCACATTCTCAGCTTATCTCTCTTCCCTGCCCCTCTGGGAGGGGCCCGCAGGGACCACGAGGGAGGCCTGTGGCACTGGGGAGCTTCTTGTGGGCACTGTGAGATTTGGGGATTGACGTCCCAGACGCAAAGCCTGAGTAAGGGAGGCAACTTAGATCCCAGCCCAACAGGGTCTTGGCTCCAGGGGGCTGGGCAAGGGAGTCGGGTGATGGAGGGGCACCCAAGACGCTGAGGTCATTTGCTTTCTCGTGGTGAGAGTCCGTGGATCTTGCAGCAGATTTTTTTTTTTAATATTTATTTATTTGGTTGCATGGGGTGTTAGTTGCAGCAGGCGGGCTCCTTAGTTGCGGCTTGCTGGCTCCTTAGTTGCGGCATGTGGGCGCCTTAGTTGCGGCATGCAAACTCTTAGTTGCGGCATGCATGTGGGATCTAGTTCCCCGACCAGGGATCGAACCTGGGCCCCCTGTGTTGGGAACGCAGAGTCTTATCCGCTGCGCCACCAGGGAAGTCCCTCAGCAGATTCTTAACGGGGGCTGAGAACCCCGGAAAGACTTGAGAAGAATTACAGGAATGCAGGGGGTGAAGAGAGAAAGCATTCAGGTAAGGGGAAGCTTTTTAGTTAAGAATGACAGATCTATGCAGTCTTGACACACCATGTGACTTAAGACAACTGCTTTGTGGCTCTAGGCCTCAGTTTCCCCATCTGTATCAGGCAAGGGTCAGAAAGAGCCTCGTGCCCCTATATGTTGTGGCATATAGGCCTGTTGCACTGTGGAGTTCTAAGAGTCTGCCATTCCGCGCTGTCTTTCGGGGGTTTGGTGGTGGGCAGATCTCAGGTGGGGGACAAGAGAGGGTTGAATGCCCCTCCCCCATGCCCAGCATCCCCCAAGAAACAGATGGGTTGAGGAGGAGGGATGGGAGGAGGGAGGGGTAGGCAGCCAACTGGTTCCCCCTCGAGGAAATTAGCAATGGGAAGTGTATTTCCTTTGGCTGCAGGAAATCAGTCTCATGCCTGTGTACCCACCCCAGCCTCAGCTGAACCCAGGGGTTCTTGAGAGGGTGGGGCAAAGGGAACTCCCAGCTCTCAGTGCCTCCTCCCATTATGAACTGGTTCATTCTTGTGTCAGCTCCCCAGTGCCTGTGGAATAGTAATAATTGTTCAAATACTGCACAATTTATAGATGATATCACCTCTACCAAGGATTTTCTTTTTTTTAATTAATTTTGTTTTTTACTGAAGTATAGTTGATTTACAATATTGTGCCAATCTCTGCTGTACAGCAAACTGACTCAGTTATACACATATAGACATTCTTTTTTTAAAATATTGTTTTCCATTATGGTTTATCACAGGATATTGAATGTATCCATAGTTCCCTGTGAATAAATTCGGAGATGTTTCATCCTCTTCAGTTTTCTGGAAGAGTTTATATAGAATTGATATTTTCTTTTTTTCTTCTTTTTTTTTTTTGGCCAACCCGCGCAGCATGCAGGATCCTAGGCACAGGGTCAAACCTGGGCCCCCTGCAGTGGAAGCGCAGAGTCTTAAGCACTGGACTGCCAGGGAAGTCCCAAGGATTTTCATATCTGGGATGTGACTAGTATAAAAGTTGTGCCCACCCCCCCCTTTCTATAGAAGGGGAAACTGAGGCTCCTGAAGAAGTAATTCCCTCAGTGTTACAGGAGGAAGGAGAGACTCAGGGCAGACAGAGGGGAGAGAGGTGTTTGGGTTTTTGTTTTGTTTTTTAATATAAATTTATTTACTTATTTAGTTTTGGCCACGTTGGGTCTTCGTTGCTGCGCGCGGGCTTTCTCTAGTTGCGTTGAGCGGGGGCTGCTCTTTGTTGCGGAGCACGAGCTCTAGGCGCGCGGGCTTCAGTAGTTGTGGCTCGCGGGCTCTAGAGCTCAGGCTCAGTAGTTGTGGCGCACGGGCTTAGTTGCTCCGCGGCATGTGGGATCTTCCCGGACCAAGGCTTGAACCCATGTCCTCCACATTGGCAGGCGGATTCTTAAGCACTGCGCCACCAGGGAAGCCCGAGAGAGGTGTTTTGAGTGATTTGCTCTGGGCGGGCGGTTTCAGTTCAAAGGTAGGGACCGGATTGCACTGTTCCAGCCAGGAGCAAGCCACCTCTGTCCCATCTCCACAGGATCCAGGAGTCTCTGTGAGTCTGAGGTGAGGGCAGCTCTTCAGTCATGGAGGACCCGACAGCGGGGAGGACTTACTAAGTGGGACTCAGCCCTGATCTTTCAAAGTCAGTTGTGCAGCAGATAGATCCTACCCTTTTCACTTTTTCCCTCCACGCCTCCTTCTCTGGGTCCCTGCAGGGGCTCGCTTGAGCTTGAAGTCGGGGGTGGTGCCGCCTCAAGGTGAGCAGGAGCCTGCGTTGGAGGAGGGGCTGACCAATGCCTGTTCCCTCAGTCCAAAGACATTTCTTGAGTGCCTACTGTATGCCGGGCCTGTCCTGGGCGCTGGCGATACAGCAGTCAGCACAAGGTCCCTGCCCTCCTGGAATGTCCGTTCTAGATAGACAGACAGACACAAACAAGATGCAAAGTGATGTGAGGAGAGAGCCCTGGGAATGGGTGGTCAGGACTCTGGGTCCAGAGGGCTTCCCTGAGGAAGTGAAGGAGGTGAGGGAGCTAGTCGTAAGTAAGTCTGAAGGAAAAACAAAGGTTTTGTCTTGTTTTGTTTTGTTTTGGCTGCGTTGGGTCTTCGTTGCTGCGCGTGGGCTTTCTCTCCTCGTGGTGCGCGGGCTTCTCATCGCCGTGGCTTCTCTTGTTGTGGAGCACTGGCTCTAGGCACGTGGGCTTCAGTAGTTGTGGCACGCCGGCTCAGTAGTTGTGGCACACGGGCTTAGTTGCTCCACGGCATGTGGGATCCTCCCGAACCAGGGCTCGAACCCGTGTCCCCTGCATTGGCAGGCGGTTTCCTAACCACTGCGGCACCAGGGAAGCCCAGAACAAAGGTTTTGACGCTGGAAAGAAGGTCCAGCCTTGAGGCTGCTGAGGTGGGGGAGGGGAGGTGGGCAAGAAAGTCAGCTAGGTTGCCCAGGCTGGTCAGGCAATGCCTTGTCACCTGGGGTGAGGATTTGGGATTTCACCCCAAGTCCACTGGGAAGCTATTGGAGAGTTTCAAGCAGAGAAGTAACAAGAGCTGATTTACATGTTAGAGAGACCTTTCTGGCTGCCACGTGGGAAGTGAGTTGAGGGAAGTCAGAGTGGCCAGGAAAGCCGTGACAGGCTACTGCAAAGTCCAAGCCAGTGGCGATGGCTGAGCAGAGCGGGCAGAAGCAGGGGTTTTAGAGACATACATGGATTCAGGATTTAGTGTGGAGGAAGGGAGAGCCAAGTGGCCTTTCCCATGAGAAGATGCTCAGGCATCTGGGAGGTTCCCGTGTACCTGCTGTGTACCTTTGGGCTCATCCCTTCCCCTCTCTGGGCCTTGGTTTCCTCATCTGTCCAATCGACTCAACCAGTGGTTTTCAAAGTGTGTCCTAGGGATGCTTCAGAGGTGGCCTTCTTCCCGCCACCTCATTTTTTTCTAGAGCACAGAGCAGCTTCCTCTGTCACGGTCTTAGATGGGGTTTCCAGCTGAGATGTCTCTTTTTTTTTTTTTTAAAGTGGTTTCACAGCCTAAAAACTAAACTGATGCAAACCCTTGGATGGAGTGACTTGTGCAGGTGCCTCTAATTCAGGACTTCGCTCACCACCTCTCTGGGGGTTGACAGTGGTCCGGGGCTTGGTCCAAGATTGTCCTTTGCCCTGTCCTTAAACGTCTCCGCAGGACCAGGAGAGTGGGGCCCAAGACTCTCACTCGGGAAAGTCGGAGGGGAGTGGGGAGAGACAATGAAGGGGGCAGTCTCTGAGGGAGGGGACTGCTGGCACTGCCCCCAGGGCTCCCCCTTGCTCCCGACCTCAACCGAGTCCAGCATCTCCTCCTCTCAGCCCTTCCCTGCCCCGCCCCCCCCCAGCCCCCTGCAGCTATGCTTCCCTGGGCTGTCAGCCCAGGGCCCTCTTCTGTCCAGTCATTCTTGGGTGAAAACTGAAGTGCAGACTGGAGAAAGCTGAGATTTCCCCTCTCCCGCTATCAGGACCTTGGACAGGTCTCTGAACCTCTCTGTGCCTCAGTTTGTCTAACAGGGGGAATAACCCTATTCCTCATAGGATTCTTGAAATTTCAAAATTCATACCCATAAAAGTGCTTAAGACAGGGTCTGCTATGTAGTAGGACTTAATAAACTTTAGCTGTTATTATCACCACCGTCATCATTATAGTCAAAAATGGGGTGCCCTGGGTTAGGAGCAGGAGGGCTGGTTCTAGCCCGGTTCTGTCACTGCCTTGCTGTGCATCCTTGAGGGGAGTGACGCAGCCTCTCTGGGCCCAGTCTCCCTGTCTATAACATGAGAGTTGAGACTAGTTCTCCATTTCCCACAGCATGATATGATACTTGTGCAAGTTTTACATGGTTTCTGGAAGAAAGTTTTAAAATCTGAGTTGGATCTTTATTTTTATTTTTTTGCGGTACGCGGGCCTCTCACTGTTGTGGCCTCTCCCGTTGCGGAGCACAGGCTCTGGACGCGCAGGCTCAGCGGCCATGGCTCACAGGCGCAGCCGCTCCGCGGCATGTGGGATCTTCCCAGACCGGGGCACGAACCCGTGTCCCCTACATCTGCAGGCGGACTCTCAACCACTGCGCCACCAGGGAAGCCCCTGGATCTTTATTTTAACATCTGTTAGGGAAAAAATATATCTGGCATCTCAAATCTGTGTTTTCAGAGATCCGTTGCTTAGAGTGGGGCCCAATTAGGCATCATTAGGGTCCCCACCCTCTGCAGCCCACTGGAGTCAGGGCAAAAGGGGTGTGGGGAGAAGGGGGTGGTCTATGACTCCTCTCACTGCAGTCTTCTCTCCCCACAGGTGCTGCAAAATCAGCTTTGAACTGTGAGGCGGGGCCACCTCATGTCAACTGCTCAGCTCCCACCAGGACCAAGCAGGAGCCCCGTCCTTGTCCCCTTTAAATTCCCTGTATTAGTAACCCTGCTCTGATCTAGCCCTTACTCACCTCCTTCCTGTTTCTTAAAAACCCTTCCCACATTCCCCAGACCGAGCCCTTCCTCTCTTTCATCCCTCACAGGACACCTCCTTTTCCGTAATCTTCTCCTCACTGTTTACTTACTTATTTCCTTATTTCTTACTGGGGTCCTAGGAAATGCTAGCACCCCCATCCATCTTGCCTGGTCTTTTCAACACTCCCTAACTGTAGACTATCCTATCTCAACACTATTCCATACATTTCCACCCCACCGTTACTTCAGCATGGCCACGCTTACCTTCTACATCCTCCGCAAATCTCTCTCTCTCGCCACTGCCCACTGATGCCTTCAGCTCCTCTATAAACAGCCCCCTCAGTCAATTTTGTGTGACCCCAATACTCCTCCACTTATGCTCTGATTGGGTTCATAAAACCTCCTTGACAAAGATCTTTGTGAATCCTGCCATCCCCCAGACGTCCCTCTTGTCATAATTCTATCCCTCCTCCAACTTTTCCCTCTCAAGCTCTATCCTTCCCTGCCCAGCCTGGCCCACGATTCGTGGTCAGCCTCATCTCTTCACTGTGGACTGCCTCCCACCATGTTCCCCTGAGCCTCCGAGGAGGGGGCTCAGGGGGCCTGATGGCCTCCCGCCACCCATGGCCCCACAGCCCCTGTGGGCCAGGGGAAGCATCTCGAAAGCCTCAGTGCCGAGGATGGGCAACCGCACGTGGGAGGGCTGCCACGTGGACTCCCTCGTGGACCACCTCTTCCCGCCCTCCCTCTACATCTTTGTCATCGGCGTGGGACTGCCCACCAACTGTCTGGCCCTGTGGGCCGCCTACCGCCAGGTGCGGCAACACAACGAGCTGGGTGTGTACTTGATGAACCTCAGCATCGCTGACCTGCTGTACATCTGCACGCTGCCGCTGTGGGTGGACTACTTCCTGCACCACGACAACTGGATCCACGGCCCCAGCTCCTGCAAGCTCTTCGGGTTCATCTTTTATACCAACATCTACATCAGCATCGCCTTCCTCTGCTGCATCTCTGTGGACCGCTACCTGGCCGTGGCCCACCCACTGCGGTTCACCCGCCTGCGGCGCGTCAAGACGGCCGTGGCCGTGAGCTCCGTGGTCTGGGCCACAGAGCTGGGAGCCAACTCGGCGCCCCTGTTCCACGATGAGCTCTTCCGCGACCGTTACAACCACACCTTCTGCTTCGAGAAGTTCCCCATGGAGGGCTGGGTGGCCTGGATGAACCTCTACCGGGTCTTCGTGGGCTTCCTGTTCCCGTGGGCCCTCATGCTGCTCTCCTACCGTGGCATCCTGCGGGCTGTGCGGGGCAGCGTGTCCACCGAGCGCCAGGAGAAGGCCAAGATCAAGAGGCTGGCCCTCAGCCTCATTGCCATCGTGCTGGTCTGCTTTGCGCCCTACCACGTGCTCCTGCTCTCCCGTAGCGCCGTCTACCTGCGCCACCCCTGGGACTGTGGCTTCGAGGAACGTGTGTTCTCGGCGTACCACAGCTCACTGGCCTTCACCAGCCTCAACTGTGTGGCTGACCCCATCCTCTACTGCCTCGTCAACGAGGGCGCCCGCAGTCACGTGGCCAAGGCCCTGCACAACCTGCTCCGCTTTCTGGCCAGTGACAAACCCCAGGAGATGGCCAACGTCTCGCTCACCCTGGAGACCCCACTCACTTCCAAGAGGAACAGCGTGGCCAAGGCCATGGCAGCCAGCTGGGTGGCCGCTCAGCCCTCCCAGAGGGACCAGGTGCAGCTGAAGATGCTGCTGCCGGCGCAGTGAACCCCGTGTCGTGCAGAGCCCCCACTCCTCCATACTAACCCCACCCTCCCTTCCCTCCTGGTCCGGTGTATGCAAATTGTATGTAAATGAGGCTATGCTAATTTCCATAAGCATGTAAGAAAATAGGAAAATAGTGAGGTTGATGTGTCACTGGTCAACCATCGTCCTCCACCATGACCCCCTAACAATTCAGTAGAACTGTGCCTAGCCCTGCGCTGGGTGGTGCTAGTGACCCAGCGGTGACAAATGACAGTGCTGGCCCTGCCCTCATGGCTCCCACTCCACTGGGGGAGACAGATCTGTCCCTGGATAGTGATGACCCAGAGTGGGCAGGGCTCAGACGGGGAGCCCAGGCGCTGGGGGAACCCAAGAAGGCATCAGACCCGGTCTGGGGGTCAGAAAGTGCCTCCTAGAGGAGGGGACCAGTAGATTAACTTTCCGGAAGGTAAAGACAAAAAAGTTAGGATTACTTTCAACAAGGGGGTAAAAGTTTGTGACTCACGGGGAAGGTGGAAGAAGAAACTCACCGAATGCTGAGTGGTCCCTTTTGCCTTTGGGAAGCCCCCGGTCCTATAGGGGAGAGAGCGAGCAGGACAGAGCGTTTCAGAGTTTCAAGGTAAACAGCATTCTCCAGGTCAGGGCTGAGGAGGAGGGAGCAGGATCAAATGAAGGGCGATCAGCAGACGGGCTGGTGGAGCAGGGAGCAGGGCAGGCTTGGGAAGGGGGCTGGGGACAAGAGAAGGCTATTTATTCATTCATTCAAGGGAGATTTGTTTAGACCTACCCTCTGCCCAGCCCTGTGCTGGCCGGCAGCTGGGGACAAAACAGTGACCAAGACAGCCCAGGCCCCGCCCTCACGGAGCTCACAGTAAATGAATAGAGATAAACATCACATTTGGAATCGATAAGGGTAATGGGGAAAAATAAAGCTGACTGAGGGGACAGAGAGTGATGTGGAGTCTGATCTAGATAAGGAGGTCGGGGAGGGCTCACGGAGAAGGGGGCATTTGAGAAACGACCTGAAGGAGGAAAGGGGTCAGATGGAAGAGCGCTGCAGGCCGCGAGAACAGCAAGTGCAAAACATGGAGTAAGAGACTGCCTGCGTTTGAGGGCCAGCAAGCACACACAGCGGTGTGGCGGGAACCAGAGGCGGGAGGATGTGAGGAATGGAATTGAGACAGGCCAGGAACAGGGGCCCATATTACAGAGCTTTGTGAATCCACGTGAGGACTTTGCCTTTTATTCCAAGAGAAATGGGAGCTACAGAGGGGCTCTTGGCAGAGAAGGATTGGGATTTGGCTTAAATGTTAACAGGATTCCCTGGCTGCTGAGTGGGGAACAGAATATGGGAAGTAAGGGCGGAAGCCAGGAGCCCAGGCAGGAGATGCTGATGGCTGGACTGGGGTCGGGGGTGGGTGGTGGTGGAGTGGGGAAGGATCGGTGTCAGCTTTGGGATTTATCTTGAAGGAATTCGATGATGGAAGAAGCACAAGGGCCAGTGGGATTGTGTAACTCAAGCCCCTTGCCCATCCTGGGAAAAGGGTGACCAGGGGACCTGAACTGGAAGGACGTCTGGGAATGATCCCAGGCCCTACTCAAAGGCCGTCACCGAAGAGGCCAAGTGATTAGCCCAGGGTCACACAGCCAGTGAGTCAACGCTGGGGCCATCCTGGGCTCCCTCTCCCCTCCCTGTCTCTGCCTCTGTTCCCAGGCCCCAGAGTGGCCAAGGCTGCTGTCCTGGCTGATGGTGTTCCCCTCCCTCCCCTGGCCCTCAGGGGTCAACCAGGAATGGCTGTCCTTCTAGAACTAGGCTGGAGAGCAGGAGGAAACACACAGCTCTGGACAGGCCTCGCCCCTTCTGGTAGCCCATCTCCCTCCCTTCCTCCCCACGGGTGTGTAACAGGCTCCAGGCTCCTGATGAGATGTGAAGATCTCCCTACACACACACACACACACACACACACACACGCACACATACACCATTGCCCCAGAGGTTCCCAGAAGAGTTTCCTGGAAACCCTTCTCAGAGAAAGAAAGAGGAGGGAGGAGGGGAGTGAGAAAAAAAATGAACTTAATGAGGAAAATAGTTTTGCAGGAGGAGGGGTGGGTCACTGAGATGCAGGAAGTTGGGTCTTCGGTGTTGTGGGGAAGAGAAAAGAGGGAGGCCTGGGATTGGGCGGGGAGGAAGGGCTGGTAGTTTTCCCACCCTGTCTCACTGCTATAAAGCTACTGGGATGGAGATGTAGGGGAACAGAAGCTTTCTGAACACAGTCCCCTCAGGGAATCAGATGAAAGCCTGCATGCTACCCCTCCACCAAATGCTCATTCCCATTCATTCAATAAATATTTATTGAGCACCTACTATGTGCCAAACATTGTTCTAGGAGCTGAGGAAACAATAGTGAATTATAAACAAAAAAGTCATGTACAAGTTTGGAAGCTTCCTAAACCCATCATGTGGAACCTCAGTGCCCCACCCCCACCCCGAGTAGGTCCTTAGGCCCCAGGCTAACACCCCCAGGGATCAGGAGAAGACTCTGGGCTGGGACTCAAGAAACCCCAGCCTCAGTTGCATCTTGATTACCTCTGGAACTCTGGATAAACCCTTGTCATCCTCTGGCTCCAGTTGGTCAGTCAGTAAAATGGCGGGGGGAGGTCCCTAGTGGATGATGGACCTTGAATGGTCCCAAGCTCCTTAACATCTTTAGCCCAGAAAGGGTCCTGGGGAGAAGTTGTTTTTATGGAGTCTTGGCATTCTTAGTAATTTAGAATATCGAGGTTCACACATGTCAGTATCATCATTACAGATGGAGAAATGGAAGTCCATCAGGGCCAGGAAAGTGACAAAGGACACTCAGGGAGTCCGAGAGGATGCCAAGTAAAGCCCTGGGTCCCCCAACTCTGTGTCCTGAATGTTTCCTCCTGTACACAGCTTCTCTGTTCCTTGCACTTCCCCTCTTCCTCTGCCTCTTCGAGAATCTCTCAATTACCCATCAGCACTCCACCATCCAGAAATTTCTCTCAACCTCTTCTTGACCTTGTTTATATGATTTTGCTCCCTGCTGGGTAAAGGATGACAGTCTGGGACACTTCCTTAAACTCCTTCTTGAGCCAGCTCCCTAGGGACACTTGCCCCCCAGTGGAGGAAGTGGGGCTGCTTGAGAACGGTATAGTTTATTAGCCAAGATGCTGGGCTATCAACCTCTGCTGGCTGAGGGAACTTGTGCCACTCTCCTGGCCCCTCTTTGGGTCTCAGTTTGTCAGTTACTTGGAAAATGGGTGGATTAGCTGCTTCTGGAGATGAAATGCATCCTCATGCTGGAGTTAGCAATAATAATGCTAATACCTGTATAGTAATAAGGGCTGTTTATTGGGTGATTGGCACCATTCTAAGCTCTTAACATAGTTCACTATGTTTTTATATTCAAAATTTGCATGCAAGGCTTACAACAACCCAATAAGGTAAGTGGTTTTTTTTTTTTTTTTAGTAAATTTATTTATTTAGTTTTGGCTGTGCTGGGTCTTCGTTGCTGCGCAGGGGCTTTCTCTGCTTGCGGTGAGCAGGCCTACTCTTCCGTGCGGCGCCCGGGTTTCTCATTGCGGTGCCTTCTCTTGTGGAGCATGGGCCCTAGAGTGCGCGAGCTTCAGTAGTTGTGGCACACGGGCTCAGTAGTTGTGGCTCGCAGGGTCTAGAGCGCAGGCTCAGTAGTTGCGGCGCACGGGCTTAGCTGCTCCGCGGCATGTGGGATCTTCCCAGACCAGGGCTTGAACCCATATCCCCTACATTGGCAAGCAGATTCTTAACCACTGCACCACCAGGAAAGTCCCAAGGTGTAAGTGTTCTTATGATTCCCATTTTGTAGATGGGAATACTGATGCCCAGAGAGGTTAAGTCACTCGTCACACACAGCAAGTAAACAGTGGAGCTGGGTTCCCAATCCAGGTCTGTATGACTACCTGGACAGTTTCTTACGCCCAGTGAGAGCTCTAAACTGCGGGGGCGGGGGGGAAAGGTGCATTTGGGACTCGTTAGCCCTAATTAGGACTAATTAAGACTCCTCCTTTGGAGATGCCACCTAGGTGTGTGACGTCACGGAGGAGGGCGGTGACGTCAGCCGAAGCGGGCGTGGGAACCCACGCAAGCTCCGCGAGCTGCCGTTTAACGGCACCACCCTCTGACACTTACTTTCGCCGTATATTTGCATATTTATCGGAACGGACGTCGGAGCGTCAGCGTTGACGTGGTGTCGTCACGGAGCGCCCCTGCAGTTCCCCATAGGGCGTACGCACGTACGTAGGCACGCACAGCGACGAGCGGGCGAGGGAGGAGGGAGAGATCGGAAGCGCCCCTCCCAGTCAGCAAGGTTGCGCATGCCCCTTGCAACCGCCAAGATGGTGGTGGGCGCGTTCCCTATGGCGAAGCTGCTATACCTGGGCATCCGGCAGGTCAGCAAGCCGCTTGCCAACCGCATTAAGGAAGCCGCCCGACGAAGCGAGTTCTTCAAGACCTATATCTGCCTCCCGCCAGCTCAGCGTGAGTCTCACCCCACGTCCCTCCAACCTTCCCATTCTCTAACCCCTTTCAGGTGGTTGCTCAGGAGGTGGACTTCTGTTCATGACCAATCACAGCCCGAACCGGCAAAGTCTTTCAGCCAGTAGGGATGGTCCCTGGGAGAGGGGCATGCGGGTAGCCCAATAGTAAGAAAGGGCATGGGGTTAAGGGCGGGGCAGGGCGACCGCGCTTGAGTTGGGAATACTAGCCAATAGAGGAAAAGAGCGCGTGGAGACTGACGTCTAGACGGACCAATAACCTGGGGAATGGGAGTGATTTGGGCGGGGCATTCCAGGGCTGAGAGGAGCCGGGGGAGACCGGAGCTCCGGTCATTTGACCAAGTGGGGTCGTTTGCTAGACTATCCGTGGGAGGGTTCGCTCTGAAGACTCCACCTCGTGCCTCAGTTTCCCTCCCGTCCTGGGAGTTGAGAGGTGCTTATGTATCATCCGTTTAGGACATTCATTGGTTTGCCCCAGTTGTACTCTGGGAAATAGGCCTGGGTAGAGGCGTGGCTCGGGGCGAAGTCTGGGGTCTGGGGGCGTGACCTGGGAATCCGGCTAAAGGAGTAATTTTAACTAGAGTGAACATTTGTCCATCTATTCATTAATCCACCCATACTCCGTATTTGTTTGTCCATTCATTCAGTAGACAGACCATGCTGACTTTTTCTGGGCTGGGAGACACATTTATGACCCATCACTGTCACCCCAGAGTGGTCAGGATGGTGTGAAGTCCAGAGCTCAGAAAGACCTCCTGACCCGGGGGCGTGGGGTCAGGAAGGCTGTCTAGACGAGGGCTGCCTGAGCTGAGATCTGAAGGGCATAGTAAACATTCAAACTATGAGCTACTGTCAAAAGGCGATCTATGTGCTGTGGGCCTGTGGGAGCACAAAGTGTGGAAATTTAACGTAATTTGCTGCGTCAGGGAACCACCAGTAATCCATCTGTTACTTCATTTAGTTAGTGTTTACTGAGCGTCTGCTTTGTACCTGGCCTTGTGCTGGGCAGTGATGGTGAAACAGCAGGAATCAAGCTAGCCCCAGTCTCTGCCCCCAAGGAACTCGCAGTCAGGTGGGGACAGACCCATCCTTCAAGGTGACGACCCAGAGTGGGCAGAGCTTGCATGGGGGATCCCACTGGACGCCTGACCTGACATGGGGTTCAGGGAGGGCTTCCTGGCAGAGGAGACCTCTGGGCTGGGAACTGAAGGGTGAGGAGAGTCTCACCAGACAACACGGGGACAGGGATGATGTTGAGGGCGAAGGAGGAGCATGCGCAAAGGCCAAATGGTTACGGGGAGCACACTTTTTTTCCTTACAAGTTTGGATGCTTAAAATTTGCTTTCCAGGGCTTGGAATTCTTGGTCTTTTGGTGTTTGGTCGGTCCTCTGCCAGAGCTGCAGATCTTAGAACGGAGAAGTGTTGGATTACAGTTTCTGAAGTGCTTCCATATAAGCTCTCTCATTTGAGCCTCACACTCTTTTTTGTCCCCATGTCAGGGAGGGGAAATGACTTCCCCCAGTTTATAGAAGAGAAAACTGAAGCCTGAGAGCAGAGGGGAATTGCTGAGGTCACTCGTGGAGTTAGTGCCAGAGGCTGACTCAAATCCTGCGTTCGGGATTCCCAGAGCTGGTGCTTGTTTCCTGCCTCTGTCTTTCTCCCAAGCACTGTGACGTGTGTCAGCGTTGTGGTTTAGAAAGTGGCTGCTTGAGTCAGACTGACATGGGTTCCAATCTGGCGCACACACACACACACATACACACACACACACACACGCACCCTGTCCCCTTCTCAGCCAGGTGATTTTGGGCAGGTCACTAACCCCTCTGAGCTTCAGTTTCCTCCTCTGTACAGTGAGTATTATATAATAGTGGCATTTAATGGGCGCTCACTTTGTGCCAGGCAGTCTGCTGAGAACGTCACAGCATTAAGTCCTCACCAATTATTATGAGGTAGACATCGTTATTATTCCTATTTTGTGTATATCTACATATGCATTTATGCTATAAATAACACTTACCTCATCAAGTTGTTGTGAGGAGTAATGGATGTAAAGTGATAGGTCAGTGCACGGCACTGAGTTGTGGCTGTTGTGTAGATGTTATGGTTACAGCTGAGAAGAAAAAGTAAAAAATTTTATCTTCAGGGGACCTTGCGTTCTTGGCATGGGGGGAAGCCAGACAAGAAAGAAAACAGTGAAAATGTGAAGTTAGATATTGGATGGCACTAATTGCTCTGGAGAAAACGTCAGGGATGCAGGAGGAGGAGTATTTGGGGGACGGTTGTGAAGTTTAGATAGGATTACCAGGGAGACCTCACTGAAAATATGAGAGGAGGGAGCACGCAGTGCGGGCATCTGGGGGAGGAGCTTTCTAGCCCGAAGTTTCCACAGGTGTGAAGACCCTGAGGTGAGTGTGCGCCTGGCCTGTTTGATGAGCATCGAGGAAGCCAGTGTGGCTGAACAGTGAGACCGAGTGGAGACTGAGGGCCGAGAAGGTGGTGGGAAGGGGGCAGATCGTGCAGGGCCTGTGGGCCACCACAAACGCTTTGGCTTTACTCTGAGTGGATGGGACTCACTGGAGGGTCTGAGCAGAGGACGGATGGGATCTGAGTTCGATTTTAATAGGATCCTTTTAGCAATCAGAGGGTGAGCGTGGATGCAGGGAAGACATGACTACAGCAGTCCAGGTGGGAGGTGAGTGGGGAGGAGGGGTCAGATCCCAGAGACAATTTTTTCCCCAACTACTTCTTTTTAAAATTTCAAACCCTGGGGCCTCCCTGGTGGCGCAGTGGTTGAGAGTCCTCCTGCCGATGCAGGGGACACGGGTTCGTGCCCCGGCCCGGGAAGATCCCACATGCCGCGGAGTGGCTGGGCCCGTGAGCCATGGCCACTGAGCCTGCGTGTCCGGAGCCTGTGCTCCGCAACGGGAGAGGCCACAGCAGTGAGACGCCTGAGTACCGCAAAAAAAAAAAAAAAAAAGTTTCAAACCCTGAGAAAAGTTGAAAGAAAGAATGGTATGGTCATCAGGTATATGCCCTTCAACACCTAGTTCATCTCTTATTAGTCTTCAGCAGATCTGCTTTGTCTTCAACACCATATATGTATGCGTGTATGAATGTATATACACAATCTTTTTTTTTTTCTGAACAATTTGAAAGTAAGTTTTGGACATGCTTCTAAACTCCTAAATACTTCAGTCTGTATCTTCTAAGAACAAAGGCATTCTATATGACACAGAACGAGTGTCACACCTGAGAAATTTAACATTGATAACAATAATATTGATGACAATATTGTTTAATATACAGCTCATATCTAATATATAGCTCATATTCTGGTCCCCCAAATGTCCTTTTAGCTGTTTATTATTTTTAACCTAGGGTCAGCTCAAGGATCATGCGCTGCATTTGATAATCATGCCTCTTTAGTGTCCTTTAATCTACAGCAGGCTGGGCAATCTGGCGCACTGCCTGTCTTTGTAAATAAAGTTTTATTGGGACACAGCCCTGCCCATTCGTTGTACATTGTCTGTGGATGCAGAGTCGGGTTTCCATGGCCCACAAATCTAAAATATTTGCTCTGTAGCCCGTAGCAGAAAAAGTTTGCTGGCCCTCCTCTATAACAGTATCCTTGTCCTTTCTTGTTTTTTGTGACATTGACATTGGAAAGGGTCCAAGCCAGTTGTCCCGTAGTGTCCCGCAATCTGGGGTTTTCTGATTGCTTCCTCTGATTTGATTCACGTTGAGCATATTTGGCAGGAACACCACAGAACACCTAAGGACATCACCTCAGGGGGCTCCTGATGTCTGTTTGTTCCGTCATTTGTGGCGGTACCTTGGATCCCTTGGTTAAGGTGGTGACTGCTAAAAGAACCTTTCCTTTTCCCCTTAGTAATGAATAAGCAGTAGATTTGTTTGAAAGGTAGTGGCGGCAGGATTTCCTGTGGATTGGGTGTGACAGGCCGACTGGAAGAGGGGCAGGCTGGACGGAAAGTACCAGGGGCTCAGTGGGGGACAGGTTTGGTTGGAGATGCTTTTCGACGTTGGTATGCCCTGACTTCTCATAGTCACACTTTTTATTTTTAATTAATTAATTTATTAAAAATTTTTTATTTTATTTTTGGCTGCGTTGGGTCTTTGTTGCCGTGCGCGGGCTTTCTCCAGTTGCGGCGAGCGGGGGCTACTCTTCGTTGCAGTGGGCAGGCCTCTCATTGCGGTGGCTTCTCCTGTTGAGGAGTATGGGCTCTAGGCACACAGGCTTCAGTAGTTGTGGCATGTGGGATCAGTAGTTGTGGCTCATGGGCTCTAGAGCGCAGGCTCAGTAGTTGTGTTGCTCTGCAGTATGTGGGATCTTCCTGGACCAGGGCTCGAACTCATGTCTCCTGCATTGGCAGGCGGATTCTTAACCACTGTGCCACCAGGGAAGTCCCTGGCTAAGGTTCTTTTGACACAGTAGGGTAGACCTAGCTGTCGGTCTCCTCACAATAGGGGCCGGAGGGGTAGGTGTTTCTGCCTGGGAAAGAACAGTAAATGCAAGAAGCATAAATCATCGATGATGCACTGTGTCGGGGAGACAGAGATCTTTTTCAACAAAGATTTCTGGGGGAGAGAAAATTAAAGAGGTTGGTGATGCCGGGAAGGTTGGGACCACTCATGCAAAGTGCACTGCTGATGCTGCCAGGGGAACTGTGGGAGGTCTCTGGGCAGTGGGAAAATTCCAGTTGGTTTCCGCTTATTCCTTTGGAGAACACTGGTCATTTTTCCAGTTTGCTCCTCTGGTAGGCAGAATAACGGCCCCCCC